TCTGATCTAGATTTACCTATGGTGCCCCAACCTTCCTCCAAGGAACTCAGCGGAATTGTGAAATAAACATAGGCTTAGCCTATCTATTCTGTGAAGTAATTTAGGTTTGAGAGAGACAGTGATTACCTCAAAGTCTTCTAGAGGAACAAGAATGCTATAGAGCTCTCCATGTACTTTTCATGTGTCAATTCTCTTTTCCATCGCATCAAGGCTACCCGTAAAAACATTTAAAAGAAGAAATGTTGTCATTTAAAAAACCAAAGCTATAGATGAGCCAAATGTTTAGTAACAAAATTAAGGAAATGGAATCATTACTACGTACATAATATATAAGGGCTCCTGAGAATGCTGGGATCCACGTCGTTTACCCCTCTCAACAACATTCAGCTCATGTGGTATTGGTTACTGTTCTTTCCCCCAAGACGTTCCAACATTTCCTATGACGTATCTTCTCAAACCACCAGTGTCTCCTAGCAGACGTAGTTTGTCTCTGATCTAAGACTCGTGAGACTTATGACTTTTATTGCCAATTAGAATTATACAACGTTTTTAATTAACATTCTGTTCCCAGCTAATGCTTTAACCTGAAGTCAACGAGTTTTTTTTCTGCCAAAGAAGGGGTAAGCCAACCAGTGGTCTGTGCAGCACATTCAGCCTGCAAAATATTCCATTATAGGCCCTATCAGATTTGAATTGAAGAGCGGGTGGTGAAAAGTTTGCTTGAATGGGCACTCCGAAATTGTCCTTCACCCTTTCTCTCTTTTGATTCATTCACACCTCTGTTTTAATTTCGCATGAAATGGCACAGCTAAACCTGAGAACGCATGCTCTGTCACGGAGAAGTCCATCCGTTTAGAGTGCACTGGTTTAATTTATGATTACTTATTAAGAAGCCAGCAGGGAGGGGCAACAGCACATATCTGGTGCACTGACATCGGCTTACCAGAAGGGAGACAGGAGGTGGTTGTCACTGTGTAGATGCATTAGTGGAAGCAATAGATTGGGCTCCATTGGTGCATCTTCAAAGCACACACCTGCCTGCCGCCTCACTCATCTCTCACCCACTTACTTCCAGTGGAATCTCTGCCAGAAGCCAAGGTGAATACTGCAGCAGTTCCCACCAGCCACTCCTGAGTGTGGCAAAATACTTTTCTAAATGGAGAACAAGGTGCTCCTCACAAGAATACATCAGCTGGCTTCCCCTGTGTCAAACCATTTACAAAACCAAGTCCAAGATAGCCCTAGGTATGGAATAACTGTGTGGATTTCTTGGAACAATTGTGAGATTTTACAGTCCTGTAGGTGAGAGCTATTCCACCCATTACAACATAAGCTATTCATATTACAATGTTCGGGCAGATGAATCACCACCACCACAGGGATGAATTTCCTTAAATCCAACCAATTCATGTTAGAGCGCAATCCTATGCATGGCCACCAATAGCTCAGTTGGTTAGAGCATGGTGCTGATAATGACAAGGTTGCAGGTTAGATCCCCATATGGGGCAGCTGCAGATTCTTGCATTGCAGGGGGTTGGATTTGATGATCTTCAGGGTCCCTTCCAACTCTAACAATTCTATGATTCTATGGCCATTCTAAAGTAAGTCCTATTGGATTCAACCAGCTGGCTCTCAAGAAAGTGTGCACAGGGTTACAGCCTTAACTGGGTTGTGGCAATGTTGTTTTACCAGTTGCTTCACTCCCATTGCTCATTTTTGCACTCCCAGCCAAGCAGTAAAACCAGAGAGTTCAATGAATCCCTGGCAAGGTGCCATTCATAGCTAATGGACTTCTTTCAGATTTGTTCATTATATTCTGCAGAGGCCTAAACTGTAACAAGGAACCCAATTTGTCATCAATACCTAGTTTGTCATTTGAAATTATTGATGCCAAGGAACTCCCACATTTTTGTGGATTAATATTATATTTGCCAGGAGTTCAAACATGCAAAAATAGAGTTTTGCAAATGAGAAAATCCAGGCTTTCTGTGATGTTTAATGTCATCATGTGGCTTTTATTTCCAGAAGCAAGTGGTACTATTCAGGCTGTCTCTCCAACAGAAGACTAAAGATTGCAAGCGTTAGCAATACAGCAAAGACTAATATTTTCCTTTGAATGCAATATTTTCTTTGGTCTCTAAATGTCCTCTAGGGGTACAGCATTTTAATTTAACAGCTTCCCATTGATTTGCAGATATTCTATTATAATAAAAGAAAGTGAGACAGTGAAAAAGGCTGTGCAATCAATTTGAATAAAAGTAAATGTGGTCGATATAAATAGTCCTATCATGAGCTCACACAGCAAGGCAAAAAGTATAAATAACGTTTGATAATGAGAATGATTCAGGAAAATAAGTTGCTGCTGCAAGCAATTTTTCCCTGAAGAAACAACAAAGATTTTGTTTTCTTGCACACAAAAATACTCCCCATTATTTCTGCAGATAATCTACTAAAATCTCTGTTATTGTTAGAAATCAACAGGCATGCTCTATCTAGCTTCAGGTTTTTCCAGAGGCTGATGGTACTGAATCTAATATTAACTATACAGGAAGTGAACAGCCCAGAATTGCAAGCAGATGTGTCAATCAATTGCTGAATGGGGCTTGGTTTTATTCTCAGTGCTAAAATGCCTGGTAATTTTATTAATAGTCCAGTTTTCACATATCTACCAAGAGACTTTACTTGCTGCTATAGAAGGACTGTGTTAGTTGACTCTATCTAAAGGTAAAGGGACCCCTGACCATTAGGTCCAGTCGTGGCCAACTCTGGGGTTGCGGCGCTCATCTTGCTTTATTGGCCGAGGGAGCCAACATACAGCTTCTGGGTCATGTGGCCAGCATGACTAAGCCGCTTCTGGTGAACCAGAGCAGCGCACGAAAATGCCGTTTACCTTCCCGCTGGAGTGGTACCTATCTATCTACTTGCACTTTGATGTGCTTTCGAACTGCTAGGTTGGCTTTTTTTTTTTACCTGCTTTCAAACTGCTAGGTTGACTCTATCTATATTTACATAAATTCTAAAAGGTAAAAAGCAGTAAATAGTTAACTGCTAGCAAGATGCCCACAAGGTGTCTTTGGAAATGTGGATATAAAGATGTTATGCATGTGGGTAGATGGGTGTGTTCTTCCCCTCTCATGTGTCTTTCTTGCCCCTAGTGTTCTGTGTTCTCACTTTTCTTTCTTGTGAGCGCCCAAGGTCTTTTCCAGCTGTCCGTCAGCCTTCAAGGGAGCAGCTGTAGCTGTTTGGAGATCTGCAACATGGGCCATTTTGGCAGTCGGTGCTCAGCATCTTCAAACATGGCACTGGGAAGAGCGAGAGGATTAGTCTGCTGGATGCTCATTGTCACAGCTGCCTTTCATTCTCCATTAAGGGCCAAACTAGATGTGACATCAGAGAAGCACAAAAGCATCACCATTTTCTTCTTCTTCTTCTGCAGTGGAAGGAGGTTAGCTTCAGCTCCAAAGCACTGGGGAGTCAAACTGCTGCTCCTCCCCATCCCAGTTCTCCAGTACAAACGCCTTCCAGATCAGCTAATATCATCTAAGCGAGGAAAACATATAGGTACCGAAAGTGCCTGCATGCTTTCCCCTGTATAGCTAATAGCACCTTGCAAGAGTGATCTGAACCAGAGCTCCCCGCAGCTGCTTTTAGGAAGGGTGAAGATCCATAAGTGCATTTGCACATCTCAAGCATCTCTGTCCCTAAAAGAGCATTTTCCTTACTGCTGCTGGTAGGCTCTGCCCTAGGTGAGAAAGTCATAGGTTCCCCAAAACCTTCATGTATCTCTCAGTTTTTTGATGCTCTCACCAGGGAAGTGATTCAAGCTAACAGACTCGCTTACACACAGCGATCTGGAATGTTATTATTTAAGATGAACACACACTGGTGGAGTCTTTGGGTTGCAATTATTCTACAGACCCACCTTCGTTATGGTTTTGATCCTGTCAGCAAAGCGGTATGGACTGGTATTCATGGGCGTTCCCTGGAATTTCTCTGGGGTGGAAGGGCAAAGTAAATACTCCAAATAAACAAACATAAGTGGCATCAGATAACAAGTCTACTATTTCTGGTAGATCTGATGACTGAACAGTGATGAGGCCTGGGTAGAGTCTTGAGACACTTGCATTTCAAGTCTATAGGTCTCAGTGGGTAGACCTGCTGTTTATCTGAACAAGGAAAGCTTAGGAGTCCTGAGGGAGTAGAGAGTGTGTGTGTGAACTTAACATCACTTAGTTTATCTTTTGTTTGCTATTTTGTTAATATCATTCATACTGTCTTATAGATTATAAATGCTGTATTGACTTGTTCATCATACAATACCATTTTTGCTTTTATTGTGATGTACAGCTTATTTTCTAGCTGCTGATTTGTTAACACTGTTTTATAGATTGCAATTGTTTTACTGATGATTTCTTACTTATTCTATTTGTTTTATGCTGTATTTGTGATGTTCTGTTGTGTTCCACCATGCTATCAAATCAAAATCTACAGGTGGAACTAGCATCTTTGTACCCCGTGATGAAAGCCTCACTTCTTTCCCTTCAGCTCCCCGAGCCCTTAATTAATTGCAGTGTGTCTGCAATCAACTTCACCGCATTACCCTAAAAATCAATGCCAACCATCTAATGCTAAGTTAGCAACACTGAACTACACTTCAAGGTTGTTGTACAGTAGTGTAGCCCATACTGTCTCAGCCACAGACTTGCTTTCTGCAATGTGGGTAGTATAGTAGTAGTAGTAATAATAATAATAATAATAATAATAATAATAATAATAATAATAGACTTTATCTGCATTGGCTTTAGCAGAAGAATTCTTATAACAATACAAACATCTAAGAAAATCACATTTCTTTGCATAAAATAATCCCTGATTTCGAAAGATCATGAGCCTGGATTTTTTTTCTAGAGCTTACTCAATAAAGAGGACCTAATAGTGAGTCCCAACAGAGGCCCAATGGACACTGCAATATACCATGAAAACATCCAAAACATAGAGGTTTTCTGCAGCAGGTGAATAATGGTTCCTCACCAGACAAATCAGTATCTACAGAGTTTCATAAGGCAAAAAGTTTAATTATTGTGTTCTACTAACAGCCAGCAGTAGCTTTGCCAGGCAAAACCACTGCCATCAGCTGAATGACAATAAAGGTGGAAAGGGAATACCTACCCTCACTTTTGGATGCCATGAGGCTCCAGTCAGCAACTATTAGTAGGCTGACTAAAGAAATGGTTTAGGTGGATAATTGGTTGTGCTGAGATTGTGGTTGCTCCAGCCAGAATCTGGCAAATTCATATTTGTGCTGCCAGACATACGGGCTGCTGATGTCAGCAGGAGCAATTGTCCACTAAACCAAAGGTACGGTAGCCAATATGGGGCCCTCCAAATATTACTGGACTACAACTAGGGCCAGCCCACTCATGACACAAGGTGAGGTGACCACCTCAGGAGACAGGATCCACAGGGGCAGCAGATCCTACTGTAGATCTTCACTTACCTTTTCTTCCCTGGCGGGGAGAGGGCATCATTTTGTGGTTCGCCTCTGCTGGCAAAATGTTTCAGGCTGGCCCTGACTACAGCTCCCATCATCCTTGACCATTGACAATGCTGGCTGGAGTTGATGGGATTTGGAGCCTATAACATCTGCCACCTCTTTGGCTACCCCAGTACTAAACGGCCATGCCTCCCACCGCCTAAAGGTTAGGACAGGAATCCCCACTGCACTGCAAGGGGTTGGACTGGATAACCCACATGGGTCCTTTCAACTCTATGATTCTATGGCCAGCCACCAATGGGTTTGCCTAGCAAGCACTTCATTGAATACACAGTTAATGCCACGCCCAGAATAGATTCAAAATTATTATTATTATTATTATTATTATTATTTGTACCCCGCCCATCTGGCTGGGTATCCCCAGCCACTCTGGGCGGCTTCCATAGAAACCAAAAATACACTAAAATATCACACGTTAAAAACTTCCCTGAACAGGGCTGCCTTAAGATGTCTTCTGAATGTCAGGTAGTTGTTTATCGCTTTGACAACTGATGGGAGGGCGTTCCACAGGGCGGGTTCACTACCGAGAAGGCCCTCTGCCTGGTTCCCTGTAGCTTTACTTCTCACAATGAGGGAACCGCCAGAAGGCCCTCGGCGCTGGACCTCAGCGTCCGGGCAGAACAATGGGGGTGGAGACGCTCCTTCAGGTATAAATAAGTGTGCCCTTTTAGTTCATTTCAACCAGTTAATCTGATAAAACTTTATTTCATTAATCAATTAAATTGAGTAATAGGTTCTGCTGGTTGACCAACTTAATCAAAGTTTTGTTGCCTACAAAAGCAGTTTTAAAAAATCTTTATACTCTCAATTTTTCTGTGATGTTTTGTATAATTGCACTAGATATGTGATCAGCATGTCCCAAGAATGTATTAACTAACATGGGGAAATCCAAAATCAGTCCACAAATCAGCTGAAATCAAAACATTTCAATGTAAGTGTTTTATGGAGCACCTTCATGTTTAGAAAGCATTTTTCATACAAACATCTACTCACGCACACATGTGCACATACACAAACTATATGGAGAATTTATCTAATTGGAAACAGCCTTAGAAAGGAAGAGATTAATGTAATTATCAAATGGCACCAAAGTAATTTAGTGTCATTAAAGACAAAATGGAGTTAGGGCTGGAAGCTCCATAAGTACATAAGATTCTCAAAACGATATTGGTGTAAAATTCACACCCTAATCAATCTTTGTGAATGTCTTACATCTTTCCCTGAACAGCGCTATCATGTGACCTTCATTTTTTACAGCCATGGAAATACCTTGGGCTTGACAAGATTTATTGTTCCCGACTAATAGTCCCTACATTGTCTGAGAATTTCTTTCATATTAAGCGCTTATATTTTAGGGACCTTAATTCATAACTTTTACAGGCTCCAAACACCTTGGACCCAAAACAATTTAGAATGAATCAATACATCATGTTTTCTATGCAGGTAACAAAATGAAGTAATACATTTCCACACACATCACTGCCATTGCCAGGCCGCTAGAGCTGTCTTCAGAGTCTTGATGGACAGCTTAGGAATTCACAAAAGCTTTCATGGAGCTGAACTCTTTGGGGTATGTTCTCTTATGGAACATGTCATAATGCATACTTGAAAAGAGTCTCCACCCTAACAAAAAACCCCAATCCTAGCTTCTTGAATCAGTTCTAAGCATTCAGATAGGTCTGGCTAATAGTATTAGAATTAGATATTCAACAGCACTGCTGAGAATGTTATGTCAAGGTCAGGTGGAGATAACAGGAAGCGTCCTGAATGCACATTCTCTCCCAGGTGCTTGAGGGAATTATGGCATTATGGCCAGTACGGTTATCATCATTTCTGTGCTATATATTTTTAGGGTTATTGTTATTTTATTATTAAACTTGATGGTTGTTTTCAGTTGTGTATGTACAGTAAGTTGCCCATAGACATTTTCTTTTAGGCAACAAATAAAGTGAATTAATATTATTAATGTTAATACTGGAAATAGAAATATTTGCTTGCTTTATTACAAATAGTTTATACTAGTATAGTATAGTATAGTATAGTATAGGCCAAGTTCCGAGATTTTACACCATTCCTGGCCAATCCAGTGACCTTCAATTGCCTGTCAATCACAACAGCTGACATTACCTGCCTCTTTCCCCCATCTGCATGTGAAGAAGGATCTGAGCGAGGACAGTTCTGGGTAGCCACTGAGGATAAAGCCCACCCACCAAAAAGAAAATGAAGCTTCCAATTTCAAGCCTTGGTTTCCTTCACACCATAATCATCTTCTTCACTGGACCAAATATACTGGCCATTAAAGAAGAAGAAGCATTAAGCCTGTTGCCTTCAGCTGTACCTGAGGTATTCAAGCATTGCACAAACTAGCCTTCAGGTGATTTTTATATCTTATAAAGATATAAGAATGTACAGTACCTCCACTTTCTCTGTGATTTGAACAAGCACCAAGCTGTGTTATTCACAGCTGTGGTATTTTATCCCTTGACACGGGCCTCCTCCAAGCTTTCATATCTACATTAGCACATTTTAATGAGGATTCCTGACATCAAGAGGTTAAGAAAAACCTTTCCAAAGTTCCCACCGCTAAACTTAATGCATTTTTATTAGATTACTGCAAGGGGGAATTTCAACCCTAGCCTCAAGATGTGAACAAGAACCTTTCAGGGTTTTTTTGTTTAATAATGCCAGCTTTTTTTCCTGAACTTCACCCAACACAGACGGTGCCTGCTGATAACTAGTGAGCGATACTTTATTTAGTAACAACTTTAGGCAATTGGCGGGACCCAATGGCATCTTGAGCCAAGCTGAACCTTCCAACAACTGAAGTGAAGAGACTTAGTTTCAAAGTTTAAATAGAACCCTTGAGTTCTCAGTCTTCTCAGTGATGTATAGAAGCAGCTTAATAGCATGAACCCTACTTTCAGTGTAGTCATGGGCTATCTCTTCATATCACAACGGGTGCATGTGTGTAACTGAGGGTGCTCCCATTTAGAACAGCTGCAGCCAGATCAAAATTGGTTGCCATAAAAGTGGATGCCCAGGGTTTTTTTCCAGCCAGAACTCACCGGAACACAGTTCTGGCACCTCTCAGGTAGGCGCCATTGCCATTATAAGAGAACAAGGAAGGCATTATATCAGTGTACTGGAAGCAAAGATCACCAGTGTTGAAGCAATGATTCTTCAACATCAACTTCGTTGGACTGCTCATGTTGTGCGGAGGCCTGATGATTGTCTTCTAAAGCAACTACTCTATTCCAAACTTAAAAATGGAAATCGTAATACCGGTGGTCAACAAAAGAGGTTCAAAGACTCTCTCAAGGCAAATCTTTAAAAAGGTAGTATGAACACTGACAACTGGGAAACACTGGCCTGCGAGCGCTCCAGTTGGAGAACAGCCTTTACCAAAGGTGTCATGGGCTTTGAAGACGCTCAAACTCAGGACGAAAGGGAGAAACGTGATAAGAGGAAGGCACGCTTGGCAAATCCACACTGTGATCAACTCCCACCCGGAAACCAATGTCCCCACTGTGGAAGGACGTGTGGATCCAGAATTGGCCTCCATAGTCACTTACGGACTTATTGTTAAAACCGTGTTTATGGAAGACAGTCTTACTCGGCTACGAGTGATTGCCGAAGAAGAAGAAGATTCCGCACTCACTCTCTTGCAAAATACTATAGAAATTCATCTAGCTCAAGGCCTGCAAGTTGATTCCTACCCTGAGTTATGCCAATGTGTCCAAATGGATGTTTGGGGACATCAGTGGAGTCAGCTTCAGCTGGCAGAATGAAATAATGCCGCCCAACATCTTACATGGTGATATCTCTTTTGTTTGTTTTTTATGGGCATCCCTTTCCTATATGCCCAGCTTAGCACTAAATCATAGATCTTAGGGTCACTTAATATAGAATGTGAAACATATTAATATTCCTTGCCTATGCAGATCCTGCCACAGGGTTCAGCATTTCATCTCAAGGAGTCTTGATCCATGCACTTGCCCTTTTGTGTACAGTATTTGCACAACTCCTTGCCTTCCCATTCTAAGCCATAGATCATTGGTGGACTAATGGTCCACGTAAATGGAGCCAGCACATGAGAACATTTTGCGTGGGATACTAGGCCAACTGGAATCTGGCTAAGTGTCCCGACAGTAATGTCGCTGCATAACCTCCCTCAGAACCTGCTTGCATGAGCATATCTAAATGCTAATTAAGATAGCAGGTTGTGGAAATTAGTCTCCATCTCCCCATGGGTATTTGCTCAATAACTGTATATTAGGGGAATGGTGCTAACTGTGTTGTAATCAAAGCTGCAGGGAAGTAAGTGTAACCCGAGAAAGAGGGCATGGAATATGCACACTGTCCAACCCTTTTCATTGGGACTCTCTTCAGATAGTAACTGTGTGCACCAGGCAGTCCTCAGGACTATGGGGCAGGTTTGAGTCCCAGAGTCCATCAGCAATAGCCAGTCAAAAATTAGTTGTTCAGTAGGCAGAGACCAACAGAATGTGGGCAATGTGTCCATGGGGAATGCTTTGCTGATTGCTTTACAGGTCCAGTGTGTGCTTACACACATCCCATCATCAAGCAATGCCACCCATACATGATATGTCAGGCCTAAAACAATCAGATCATCCTAAAACAATCCAGGTCACGGGGCTGTTCTGACAAGCCCCTGCTCATGTTTTCTCTACCCCTACAAACTTCACCTCAGATACAACACTAGTCTGAAAGAATCCTATGCATCATAATCAGGGCAGGGCTGACAGGCACCATCTAATTCTCTTTTCCACACCTGCCTGTAAGTTCACTGAATGTGTGCATTGTTTTCACCATATAACCCATCATAAAACCCATATAACTGGATTGCAAACACATAGCAATGTCTGAAAGCACTTACAGAGCAGGTAGTGGTAGAGAATGGGCCCAGTTGCAAACACATACATATACAGTGCATGTTTTTTTAAAAAAAACAAGCATTTAGATTAAGATTCCCATGCCATCCTGGATGGTATGTACCCATTTTACAGATGGGAAATAGAAAGACTGAGAGCTGTCTCCATGAATTCATGGCCGGTAATGTAAAATGCATGCAGAATGAATAGATAAAGAATGTGAGGCAAGCCACAAATTACAGTTCTAGTGTTAATGGAATAAGAAAATATAAAGAAAACAATTGCCTTTTTTCAGATGGAGAATGCAGTGATTCCATGGCCAGCACAACCAAACCCCAAACCCAAGACAGCACAGAACATGCATTGTTGCAAAGGCTGATTCAGTAGGGAGTGCACCAGCAGCAGAGGGCCAAGAAAAAAACCCAACATACATACAACCCATACAGAGAAGTCTCATGGAGCATAGCAAACATGGCAGATGACACATCACAGAGAAGACTGGAGCGGGTTCACGGTGCTTCTGAGGCCACTATCACCCACACCACTGACATCTCTGTAAAAACAGATTGCAACCAACCATTGCTACACTACCAATGAAGGGTGCAAGGGGCTCAGGAGCAGTGTTGAGATAAACTGCTAAACTCTGGCACTGAGATTATGGAGCGTGGAAGGAGTAGAAGTTGGAGAGAGTAAATGAACCTGTTAGGACTTTGTGCACTCCCTTGTCTGCCTTCTGTGCCTTGGAAGAGAAGCCATGTCCACACCCAACTGCTTCCCTAATGAGGCATCAGCTAGAGACAAGGTGGATTTGGGTGTGTTGTGACCTTCTCCTCCTTAGCCTCCAAGGCAGTTTGCTTGGGAGCTACTCCTCTGTTATCCTCTCCCTGTTCCTTTCATGGGCAGCTTTTGAGCCCTGTCTGCAGTCTACTTTCATCCTGTATCCTACATTATGACCTAGAGGCATAGTGACAAAGCCACCCCACTCAAGTCTATACATCGTAATTGTAAATCACAAGCACCAAGAAATAACCATTTTCACAGAAATAAAACTGGCAATGCTCAACCCAAACCAAGTCTGCATGCAGGAGTTTTCGTACAACGCTGGATGTGTACACATTGCTGCTTAGTTTGTCTCCACCGTGTTTCCGCTACTGGTGTTTCAAGCTAGGTACGTATGATGTTAGCCGCAAACCATAAGACTTCTGTAACTTCTTGAGAAACACTCCTGCCTGGTGAAAAGTAAAGGTAAAGGGACCCCTGATCATTAGGTCGAGTCGTGGCCGACTCTGGGGTTGCGGTGCTCATCTCACTTTATTGGCCGAGGGAGCCGGCATACAGCTTCCAGGTCATGTGGCCAGCATGACTAAGCCGCTTCTGGTGAACCAGAGCAGCGCACGGAAACGCCCTTTACCTTCCCGCCGGAATGGTACCTATTTATCTACTTGCACTTTGACGTGCTTTGGAACTGCTAGGTTGGCAGGAGCCTGCCTGGTGTACTTTCCCTCAAAAATCAGTTTCCATAGGATATGAAAACCGAAGTCATGGTTGAGCTGAGATGTGTGCATTTCAGACAGCCAATGGGCATGTGGCAGTCCAGTTTCAGTGGACTGGAGTTTGGCATGGGAAAACAAAACGGGTAATGGGCATCGGATGAAGACATCCCCACCCACTCTCTGGTCTGAATAGCAATGTAAGAATGGGACTTGAAACGTAGCAGAGGAAAATGATCTTGCTGCATTTCAAGAAGCTAATATATACATAGCCTGCGTCGCTGAAATCAAATTGGAAGGTTCAGCCAGAAATGAAGCATCTAAAGAATTTAAATGCAAGCTAAAAGGGTTTCAGTCTTGGGTGAGGGTGTGCAGAGTTACATTTTCCTAGGTTGCCACCAGATTTCACTTAAAGCTACATTCAAAGTACATGTGGAAGTCCCTTCTCAAGCAAAATATCTGAGGAATTTCAAAGCAAGCAAGAATAACAGAGTTTTAGATAAGAGTAACAAAATTGTACCGGGGCTAGAAGTGTGCTTACTCCCCCCGCCCCCCCAGCATATGTTTTCTGTGATCTCTGTGCCTGGAAACCTATGTTGTTGTTATCCTTGGTGCTGCAAAATGAGAGTGCTCCCAATTCTTTTTGCCTGCAGCCTAAAGTCTTTAGCACAAGCAGAAGTCTAAAGCAAAAAAATTGGCCATATAAGGTGACTGGAAAAGGCAGCTTTTTAAAAAGTGCTGGCGTTTGGCTACAAAGGAAGATTCGGGAGTGCATTTTGACTGGCTCAAACATTCCTCACATCTGATAGAATCTGTCACAACAGGACCAGGGATGGTGAGTGTGGTTAGCCAAAATTAACCGGGTAGGTGAATACCTGACCTAATGAGAACCACAAACCAGAGGTTCCCAGGCACTGTTCCTAATCAACACATGAAACAAAAAAGAATGAGACTAAGGGCTTGTCCATACTTCTGTTTACCCCATGCCTAGAAATCATGGGTCTGAACAGTTTTTCCACTCATCCCATGTTTTCTAGATCCATGTCCAGGGCTTCTTTTTTCAGGGGGAACTCACCAGAACTCAGTTCCAGGACCTATCTGGTGAGTTTCGGCAGCTTTCAGATGGGTGCCATTACCATTTTAAGAGAAGGAGGGAGATGTTCATGGTGAATTCCGGCACTTTTCTTCCTAGAAAAATAACACTGCCCAAGTCCAAGCAGTTTTGCCTTTGCCCTAACACATTACCCCAAGAAAACTGCTCTTTAGTACCATAGGTACCAACTCAATGAAACTGAAGACATCTCAGTCCCGTCCCCGTCCCCGTATGTGGGGATGGGGCTGAGCCCCCTGACTCTTGAGGGGCTGGATATCATTGGACCTCCATGTGGTGGTGGCGGGCACTGCTGGGCCTCACAGTCTCCTCACAATGAACGTGACAGTGCATGTGTGTGTCACATGTGTGATGTCACACACACACATGACGAGCCCTTGCAATGTAGGGCAGAACTCAGCACCCCTGTTTGGCACTAAATCAGAGCAAATGGCCATTTGCGGAAAACCTAATTGGTGTTTGTTCTGATTCAGCACTAAAGATCGGGTTTCCCCAGGGAAAAGCTGTGTAGCAAACAGAGCTGTGGACAAAGCCCTAAGAGGGAAAGGGTAACATTTGTATGAGGCTGATTGGTTGAGTGTAAGGTAAGGTAAAGGACCCCTGGACGGTTAAATCCAGTCAAAGGCGACTATCGGGTTTCAGCACTCGCTTTCAGGCCGAGGGAGCCGGCATTTGTCCACAGGCAGCTTTCCGGGTCATGTGGCCAGTATGTCTAAACTGCTTGTGGTGCAACAGAACACCGTGATGGAAACCAGAGTACATGGTAATGCCATTTACCTTCCTGCCACAGCAGTACCTATTTATCTGTTTGCACTGGTGTGCTTTCAAACTGCAAGGCTGGCAGGAACTGGGACAGAGCAACAGGAGCTCTATTGTGGGAATTCAAACCACCGACCTGATCGGCAAGCCCAAGAGGCTCAGTGGTTTAGACCACAGTGCCACCCTCACACACGTGAACATGTGTGTGCACACATACACAACTATAAAACTATAATTGAATCACAACAATTGCAGTGGTACCTTGGGTTAAGTACTTAATTCGTTCCAGAGGTCCGTTCTTAACCTGAAACTGTTCTTAACCTGAATCACCACTTTAGCTAATGGGGCCTCCCGCTGCTGCCGCTGTGCCGCCGGAGCATGATTTCTGTTCTCATCCTGAAGCAAAGTTCTTAACCCGAGGTACTATTTCTAGGCTAGTGGAGTCTGTAACCTGAAGCATATGTAACCTGAAGCGTATGTAACCCGAGGTACCACTGTACAAGGAGACTCTGTGGAGTATTGGACATGGACTGGGGAGAGTTTGGTTCAAGTTCCCACACTGCTATAAAGTTCACTGAACAAGCCTGATCCAATTGGTGTATCTCCGTCTCTTCTCGCTCACAAGATTGGAGAGTGTAATTTTAAAAAACCATACAGTTACAGCACACTTATATGAGCCTTTTTGTCTTTAAAAAAAAATGTATCTGGTTTCAGCATACAGTCCATGCGTTCTCTAGTGCCAGACCACAACATGGAAAAACTCAGTATTGTTAAGGTGCATATGGTTAGAGTTAAGCCAATGATTGACTGGCTGCGGAGTGACACAACTGAGAATGTAAATTGCCTTGCAAAAATATTTTCCAAGGCTAATAAACCCTTTCCTGTAAAAAGGTAGCTGCAGAAATGAAATTAAGCCTCTATTAGCATGTTGCTTGGCACATGCGCTCTAAACCACATCAATCAAGGCAAAATACATACTGAAATCATTACATCTCCTCATCGAGGCCTTAAAGGACATATTGTGTGTGTGTGTGTGTGTGTGTGTGTGTGTGTCCCCTAGACTCTTTGTATACACTCAAAAAAACTGTGGAAAATTGTGGCATGGGAAGCAGGAGTTTCATCACAATGCTTCTTTTGTGTTTCATAAAAAGTGAGAATTGCACAGGTGTTCAGACAGTGGGTCGATACAAACACCTTTGCTTACTATTTTTGGAATTGCACCATTTGCTTCTGAAACTACAAACCTATATTTGGGGAGAAGAAAATATGAGACAGCTACATTTAGATAGAAGTAACCAAACTTTACTATATTTATTAGAGCTAGAGATGCTTGAAGAATTCCAGGACTTTCTGACCATTAAATTGACAAAGACTGCCCATTATTATGGATGCTGTACTGCTACGATTTATATTGTTGTTTTATGTTTTTATTGTATAGGATGAGGTTTGCATCATTTTGGTATTTACACCCCTCCCACACAAACACACCACAAATGCTTTTAATAAATACATACTAAATTCAGCCTCTGAAAATCCCAGCAGGAACTGACCTGATAATAACCCCCACAGCTGTGCAGCTTGGTAGTCAGGTATCTGGATTCCCTAAATGCTCCGACACAGCTCTATGCTGAAAAACTATACTGCGGTCCAATTTTGTAAAATGAAGTTTGTGGTTCTGGGGGAGGTATGCAGAAAGTAGGGTGGCCATGAACTTGTGAAAGAAAAAGAGGGTGGGCGTTCACCTCTAAGTCTCCCTCAAAACAAAGAAACAGGCCCAATGGACCCTAGGCAGGCTTGGAAACCCCAGTACCCCGAGACCAACCTAGACATGATGATAAATACAATCTCCTGACATTTTTTGCTTGAAAGAAAATTAAGATTTGACGTTTTCATCCCCCAAATTTTTTTGATTTGAGTTTCTACTGAAGTGAGGCTGCATTTTAATGTTGTATTTTAATCTTGTTTTTAAGTTGTATTTTAATGAATTGTTTTTATACCTGCTGTTAGCTGCCCTGAGCCTGGTCTTGGCTGGGGAGGGCGGGGTATAAATTTATTATTATTATTATTATTATTATTATTATTATTATTATTATTATTACTGAACTCAGAGGACTTATTCCTGGATTAAAATGCATCAGGTTGGGCTGTAAGCCTTTATAAAGTTTTCTTAGACTGTGATCCCTGTGACTACACACACACACACCCCATAATATTTTCTGAACACAAGTGTCTTCCTAATGTCTCAACAAATGAAACCGATTTGTAAAAAAGAAATGTTACATGGGGGGTATACGAGGGCGACATTGCACATACCTTTTGTAAATCAAGAAAATCTTTAATAAACATACATTTTAATAAATAAATAAAGGCATCATACAGGTAAAGATTTCCTATCTATACTCTCTTTTTTTCTTTAGTGTACAGGGCTTTAGGTACAAAGGGAAAGAAGATAAAGGAAAACTTTTTTCTTCCTTCACAAATTCTCCACAAGTATTATTTGGTTATTTAAGGATGACAGTAAAAAAAAAAAATAACTAGAACCTACCACACTGGGATGATTAAAAATTCTTCTCTGCTTCTAGCAATTAGGCGGGGAGGGGATGAAACAGTTTAATATCTGTAATTCGCTGAACTGTGGGGGTTTTTTCTTCTCTTTTATAGATACAAACATTAGAACTCAAACAGTAAAGTTTTCCAGAGGGAGGGAAAAAAGTAGTTCAGTTTTCTACAGTAGAGAGAAGTCTTAGGATCAGAGTGGCAACTTATTTTGTGTTCTCATATTTTGTGAACCTCCCTGTAATCTTCAGGTAAAGGGTGGTATACAAATTTAATAAATAATAATAAATAATGATATTTATTTATTCTTGGCCCACTTTCCATCCAAACAAGGGCTTCTGAAGCATTTGGTGGTGAGACAGTTCTTGTCCTCTGCCTTACAGTATAAGAAGCATGACACAAAAGGAAAAGGGAGAGAGAAGATGGGGAGTAAACACAGGCACCAGCTCTTGTTCATGGGATTCTTATAATGATGATCTGGAAAGGAGAGGTGCCAAGGACAGGAGAAGCCAGAAGTTACTACGGTACTCCTTCAGTACCTGAGATGAAGAGGTGATGCAGTTCCATTTCTCCTATTGTTTGATGGGATGGAATTTTATAATGTATGTGCACAATCCTTCCCTGTGTACGGAGTTTGTTAGGAGCCCCCTTTTTGATCTCCTGCTTGGTGTACAGTGACCATGAAGGGGAATGAGAGATATGTGTGTTTCTCTCTTATTCCCCAATCTATCTCTTCCTCCATTCTTGGCCAAGCTACTCATTCAGCTACTAAATGAAAGCTGGGGAGAAACCAGGCTTTGTTGAGCCCTACAGAGACAACACTACATCCAAGTGTTGTTCCATCATGCAGGGAAAGATGGTTCTGTATATATGTTGAGTAAAGCAAATAGCACTTTACTTCATTGTGTGTTACTGTATTAAAGTAGGATTGAGTATTAGCTGCTAATGCACATAGAATTCAGCCAGCTGCATGATTATCATAAACATATGGAAGTCAGGAATTCAGAATTCAGGACTTATTCAACAGCAGCTTCAAGCTTTCAAATGTGTTTCCTCCTCTCCCTTGCCGAGTGGCATAAACAACACCCATGTTATATAACACAATGGCATTGCCACCCAGGTGGTGCACCACCCAGATTCCGCTATGGGTGGAAAACCCAGCCCACAACCCAAGGTGATGTATTGCTCAAACGACGCAGGCTAGTGATGCAGCTGTGGCAACATCTGTTGCTACCCTAGATGTGTGGCCTATTCTCTCCATACCCCTTTTCAGTTCCCAAATGTTAAATGGTTACTCAAAACACTAAAGCAATCTGTGCTGTGCTGTCCCTAATTTATGTATGAAAGCAAAGCAGTATGATTCCATATATATATCCATACAGCACAGTCCACAAATCATTATGTTGCATATGAAGAGATTTGACTTTATCTCATCCTCATGCTTAAACTGTAGGGAAATGTGGCAAGTTCCATGTCTGAAGCCTCATACAGAGGTAAAGGTAAAGGTAAAGGTAAATGACCCCTGACAGTTAAGTCCACTCACAAACAACTCTGGGGTTGCGGCGCTCATCTCGCTTTACTGGCCGAGGGAGCCGATGTTTGTCCACAGACAGTTTTTTCGGGTCATGTGGCCAGCATGACTAAGCCGCTTCTAGCGAAAGCAGAGCAGCACACGAGAACACTGTTTACCTTCCCACCAGAGTGGTACCTATTTATTTACTTACACTTTGATGTGGTTTCGAACTGCTAGGTTGACAGGAGCAGCGACTGAGCATTGGGAGCTCACCTCGTCTCTGGGATTCGAACAGCTGACCTTCCAAACGGCAAGCCCTAGGCTCAGTGGTTTAGACCACAGCACCACCCACATCCCACAGAGGTACCTTTTAATATTATTATTATTATTATTATTATTTGTACCCTGCCCTCCCCAGCCGGAGCCGCGCTCAGGGCAGCTAACATCATAAAACTAACACAGTATACAAAGAACATTAGAACACAAAACAGGCAATCAATTAATTAAAATACATCTTAAAATTAGTTCAGAGCAAATTAAAATCTGGACAGATGGCAGTCCTTGGGTAAAATTGAGAGTGGTTAATATCCTCCAGGGCCAACTGCTACCACTGGTCTTTTAAAGGACCTGTGAGCGGGCTAGGAGGCCTCTTTAATGCTTGTTCTTATACCGAAAGAAAAGAATCAGACTGAACCCCGACCAAAGAGCTGGTGGAACAGCTCCGTCTTGCAGGCCCTGCGGAGAGATGCCAAATCCCGCAGGGCCCTGGTTTCTTGTGAGAGAGCGTTCCACCAGGCCAGGGCCACGGCCGAAAAGGCCCTGGCTCTGGTCAAGGCCAGTCTAATCTCCCAGGGGCCTGGGATCTTCAGGGTGTTATTCTCTAACAACCGTGCAGAAAGCCCTGACAAGTCAACCTGCCTCCCCTTCTACAAAGACACTTTATGGAGTGTGTATGCGTGTTTCCCTCTCATATAATGAAAACAAAATTATGTAATGCTACATCCCAAAATATACTGTCGATTTGCACGTCTCCAAAGTACATATGCACTGCTCTCGAGAGCATAAAATGGAATTTCTCATATTAATAATGCATGCAAGAATCCTTCAGGAAGCAGTCCGCGTGCAGTATATGAGCCACTGTCTGACAACATTTTAATAATTCTTCGGATTGTTTAAGGGTTTTACAAATGAAGAGAAGGGGAAATACATTTGGGCGCCTCTTAGGCCAAGCGCAGCCAGCTGCACAATGATAAATGCATGTTGTCATAATCTCTCGCTTCTTACAGAGCCCTGGTGCCCTCACAGCACCAACTCTTGTAGAACACGACTGCAATCAAAAAGTTCAAAATTAATAGCTGTGAAATCTCAAACACTCATAAGCATGTGTTTTTATCACTTCCTCACAGTGTAGATTGGGTGCTCTTGCTATTCATTATTTGTGACAGTGAATACTTCCCACTCACTTTAGTGGAAAAGTGAAGTGTTGCTTACATGGAGCTGGGAAGATGCAGATCCTGTTCTAACCTGGTATTATGAAGTGATTGGCTGGCTAGGTTACTCTAAAGTCACAGATGGAGGGCAAGAGATGGGCCTCTAGATCGTTTCTGGCTGTCATTAGTTGTGCTGGTCAAATGCTAGGGATTTAGGGGACAGACAGAGGAGTGTGCAAAACAGAGGGTTACTGGGTCTAGGAAACCAGAAGGCAGGAAGATGAAAAGGCAGTAGACCAAATGAAGGCAGGTTAGGAAAGAAGGGTTAGAAAAGGGAGCAGAGAAGAGGCATGAGGGCAAATGGAAGAGCCAAAGGGGAAGATAAGTTGGGAGAAAGGTCTAAAGAGGTAGGTGCTAGAGAGATAAGAAAACGTGTTTTCACATTATGCTTGTTTATTTATTTTGTGAGTGGAACCTGTCAAATTTTGCCTGCAGGCCTGTAGTACATTTGAAATCAAACTGAAGGATAATGGATTGCAAACCCAATATTACATGGAACACATAAGAATTTGAAGATTTATTGCTTCCGTTCTCCCCTAGTTCTTCTACTGCCATTTATTTCTGCCTCCTGTGAAAACACCTATGCCAAACACTTGGCAATACGTACTTGTGTAAGCATCTCATTTGGGGAATTATTCTAATTATTGCAATAGCAGTTGCAGTCCCCAGGCAGCAACAGGAGCTGATTTTACTAGGAACTATACAGGCCTTCCTTGCTAAAAAGATCTTTAAGATCTTGCTTTAAAAATCTTGGAATAGAAAACATTATTTATGGCCCCTGCCTCAAAGGCCTTGCTATCTAATTTAAAACAAAACACAGTAAAAGAACGTTAAAAAGGCCAAGAGCAAAAGAGAAAGAGGAATCGAAATAACTCTGCGTGTGTGTGTGAATTTTGTTTTCTACAGCTGTGACTTCTGTTGCTGAGCTGAACAAGAAGTCACAAGAGTTCACTGTGGACTGAAGATGGAAAGATCCGTCAGTTTAAATACTCTCAATTTCTCATTTTTTTTGACATTCTTAAACTCAGTTCTCCACATTTCTGCAGCAATTTGCAATTACTCTTTTTCAAAATCTTCATGAACATTCTTCAGTATTTTAGTGCAAGTGTTTCCTAATAGGCCTATATTTGTACGCAGTTTTAATTAATGTAGATGTTTTTGCAAGCAATTTCCAGTATAATGCATTACTGTGTGTTATTTTCAGTAGCATGTTCTTTTGAATGCATCCCCCCATATGTGCATTTTAGTAAACAGTGGTTGGATGACTGCACTGCAAAATTCAGAGAAGTGTGACTTTTGAAAGATGGCTGTGTTTCACTGTGGACATCTTAAGGGCCTTTTCATATAATCATCATGTTGAGCTGGTGGAGTGGAATTATCTATTAACTTACAACTGTGTCGGTCCAGGCCAAGCTTGTCCTGTGCCAACACCACACGCTGAATTTGGCCCAGATTGGGGTTTTGGCCAATGACTTTTAGCGTTCTAGCTCAAACAGTGGCAATCGAAAAGCCAAACTAGGTGGATCAAGCAACAACTAGCCTGGCATGGGTTGATATCAGCAAAATATCCCCCACCCAACCTCATTACTAACTCAGTCTATGTTGGCTTTTGTGAATGGGTGCTAGAGGCAATGGCTGTTAGACACCATAAAAGAAGAGACTGAAAATGTCCTGCAAACACTTTAGGGAGTATAAAAGAAAGGCAAAAGCTAATCAAGGAGAAGATTCCACTGATAGTTTCTTTAGGTGTATGAGACTGATCAGATCTGCATGTAAGCTCCACTTTAACTTTGACCTATGGTCTAAACTCACATCCATGTGGTGGTTTCATGTTCTATGAAATCTCACAGATTTATGCTGAAGCTGAACAAGATTGTGCTTCAATGTGTATTCTAAAAGTGCCATAAAAATGTTCAGCAGCTGTTTATCGCTGCAAAGGATTATGGGTTGAGTTCAGTCCTGGTCTTGGAGGAACAGAAGGGATCTTTCTGCTTGTAGAAACGACGGCAATCCAAAAGAGCATTCACTTGGAGAAGGCAGAGAGAGTCCATTTGGACCAATACGCTTTTCCCATGTGGCCCCTTGAGGTCCCACAGTGTTCCAAAACGTCCCCCAACCTTTCGCAGCATATTTTCAGGGGTCATAGGGTGCTGCAGGGGCAGGAGGAATCAGTAAAAAATAATGACACCCCCACCCCCATGGGAATGTCTTGTAGAAGGATTGCTATATATTTTGTTGTGTCCTTTTATATTCTGTTGGAAGCTGCCCAAAGTGGCAGGGGCAACCCATTCAGATGGGCAGGGTTCAAGAATTATTACTTCTTTTCTTCTTCTTCTTCTTCTTCTTCTTCTTCTTCTTCTTCTTCTTATTATTATTATTCCACTTATGGGAACTCTGGATCCAAGCTTTATATTTATATAGTACAATTGCTGAAAATAATATTTCTTTCTTTAAAAAATGCCAAGTGTGGTGTGTCCTGTGGTTACTAAAGAAAGAAGTTAAAGCTGCACAGGGGGAAAATTTCACACACTTGGAAAAAAGAAAGGTCCATTGTAGTAACCGCACAATAGTATAGCCCCATCTGATTTATCATTAACAGAAGGGGGGGGGGTAGAAATTCTATCAAGATACTGAGAACAAATTGCCTGCAGGCAACCCATTATCAGGGTCCAATTAATTTCAGATTGAAGGCACCAGACTTAGATCTGTTCTTGTGCCAGTAATCTGAAACCCTGTAGATTGGATACATATGTCTTTCAATGAAATGCTGTTTATTTAGCTGCAGACAATTTTATTAACATGTAAGTGTAATAATAGCAAAACTAATAAAGCCAGTTATGTTGCAGGTCAAATTAGGAATCAAGTAATTCTAAAGGAAAATAAAAAATGTAACTGAAATAATATATATTACATGAGAGGCTATTGCAGTGTCGTCATTTTCCATTTAGGTTGAATAAAAATAACTTTGTGAATGACAAAAAGAAGTCTTTTATCCTGTCAATTACTATAAACCCATCACAACGTACAAATTCCTAGTTCCTAATGCTAAGTCTTTCAAATCCTAGGACTTATTTCATTTATTTTTTTCTTTGATAACAGATGGATTTTCTTTTATCCTTGGTAATTTGCATCAATAGTAGATCATAAAGTCTTACAAATACATAAAGCCATTTAGAAACATTTGATGGAGTGAATCTTTAGCCCATCCTTTTATATTTCTGAAGCATTAATTCACGAGGAAGGTTACTGGCAAATTTTAGGAGGTCGGTTGTTTTATATGGTTGATGTGAGGCGAGTAAAGATTATGCTCTAAATTTAGCACACAGTGTTCCTATAATAATATGCTGGATTTCTGTGTTAAATGTTCAACCTGAGTCATTATTCATGCAGCAAAATATGCTCTGAAAAGTGAAGGCAACAATTTTGAGTCAGTGGCTCAGATGACCAGGTTATTTCCCAAGACCAGATGGAAGTATCAGAGCCCCCACTTTGGGGTCCAGTTCTCATTTGGGTGTTTGCGCACTACCATTTTGTGTGGGCAGTCCCACAAACGAATCTGCAGCCATATGAAGAATGCCATGCACAGAGCAAGCACAGCATCAAAAGTTCTAACCTCGCTTTCTCCTTGACACACCAGTAGGTTAGAGCTGCAACAGTAGCCTCATGGCAGCAAGGTCCACTTCTGCTGCTTTCAGCCCTATAATCTTGCCTGTATACTAAGAATCGCAAGTCCCTACCAGTTAGATGATGGGAACAAGGCATCGAGTCTTCCTGCTGGTTCCAGAACTGTGGAGTTATTTTTTTCCCACCTTTCCCCATCCGTACAGCTGTTTAGGTGAGCATTAAAGCCCTTATTCTTCAATGCTGCCTTTAAAAGAGATCCCAATTGCAATGGATGTTACAGAACTGCTTCTTAAGGTGTTCTGCATGCTTGCTAATGCAGGATTTATACCTTTGTATTTTGCCCTGCTCTTGGTTTTATGTTGCTTTGTGATGCTGTAGCTCTGCACAATAATATTTTAATAATGAAAATAACGAGGCCATTGTCGCTATAGGCAGCAGGAGTAAATGTAGGTTTGAGTAGTACAGTGGTACCTCGGTTTACGAACTTAATCTGTTCCTGAAGTCCGTTCTTAAACCAAATCCATTCTTAAACCGAGGCATGCTTTCCCTGAGGCCTCCCGCCGCCAGTGCCCTTCCACTGTCCGGCTTCCGTTCATAGACCAAGGTAAAGTTCGCAAACCGTAACACTACTTCTGGTTTTGCGGAGTTCGTAAACTGAATACTGTAGCTCATAAACAGGACTGTTGATAAACTGAGATACCACTGTATCATGTTCCTTGTGGAACTCTTTGGTAAGAAAGACTTGCATGGCTAACTCACTCCAGGCCTGTAGAAAGACAGTCAACACCTTCCAAGTGATAAAGGCATATGCCTTTTTAGGAGATGATTGAGGGCTGACTTTTAGTTGGATTAGACTTCTGGTTCTTTATTAATTGTAATTAATTGGTTCATTGGATTGGGTTGGGTTTTTTATTATTGTATTGTGTGTATTTGTTATTCATGTATTCATTGGGTTGGGTTTTTTATTATTGTATTGTGTGTGTGTGTGTGTGTTTAGAATAAAATCTAACCTACTAGGAGACCTCTGGAAGAGGGGAATGTGGAAAGGAAAGGAAATTAGTATGCAGCAGGTTATTGGTAAACATAAGCGACAATGCAAACTTTAGCCTTTCTTCAAGTGGTCGTCAAGAGGAGCAAAGCTGTGTGAACTGCCCTCAGAGAAGCCTTATGAATGAGCTGGCTAAATCTATCAGACAGTTATCACCTAAGATCAGGGCTGAGGTTCACTGGCTGAGCATCTAGTGGCCTGTGGTTAAAGAGAGGTCTTTCAGTTTCCAATGCAATTATTCCCTGCAAACGTGCTTCCACAAATGATTTCAGAATGAAATAAATACTTTCAAAGGAATCCATTCGAGTTCTCTCTCTTCCTCTCCCTGGTAAGGCAGTTCTAACGTAATTAGAGAGTAATTGAGTGTTCAAGTCCTCCCCCCCTCAGATTAAGAAAGGAGAGGGATGGGGATCATTTCTCACTGTTAAGACACACAAAGCTCATGTCATTTTAACCAATTAGGTGCATTAGAAGCATTTTTGCACAAATCTAGATTCGTGTCACTTACCACTGATGAAGGTAGAGAGATGGCAAGAAAGAAAAAATATTCTCTGTGTTTAAGCAGCAACAAATAAAGGGGGGGGGACATAAATATAGCAGAAGATTTACACTGTTCCCATGTCAGTAATTAACTTCAACATCCATGGTAGCATAATAGGGTCAGTCTGTGTGCTCATGGTGATTTACATCAAGCAATGAGATTCTGAGCAACAATATTTCTGCTGATTGTGTCCATGAAGTCAGTAATAAAGTCCACATTCTCTATCTTAATAGGATTGTCATTTAGGTGGGAATATTTCTGGGGGGTGGGGGTTCTGAAGGATATTTGCTCACTTTCAACTATGGGAAGTCATCTTTGACATTGCCAGATGCAGTAACAGCAAGCCAGGAGACTTGAACCTAGTCATAAAATTCTGCTTAGTCACATGTTTCCCAAACAGACAACGTAATGCATCTTGAATCTGGATATTTGTCTCCACAGGTGTGCTGGAGAGGAAAACATTGGATTGATTGGTTGGAATGTGTTTTGCAACTTCAAGTGGAATTTGATACTTTCCATATTAACAACCTCAGATCTGAAGTTTTCTTTTTAAAAAACTGAAATACATTAATGGACAAAGATTAATGGAGGATGTTACTAAATCAGAGATTAACAGCTGTTAACTATATAGAAGCACCTAGTTGGCTACTGTTGAAAACATGATGGCGGGCTTTGGTTTACACCTGCAAGGAAGTTCTTATGCACCTTATCTGGAGTTAGGGGTGGATAGGTGGTTTCAAAGGCTTCTAGCTATGAACTGGATTCTAGCTGGCATCATCTGAGATTTGCCAGCTGTCAATGGTAATAGGAAATATTGTGCCCTAATAATATAATGCAGAATAACAATACAATTCTGTTGAGGAAAACAGCAAGGATTTGCAGTGCACATCTGAGTACAATCTGGCAGAAGAAGATAGGAACAAACAGTGACTTGATGGATGAAGGTAATAAAGACTCTAGACAGTAATGCTGATTGCCCTTTATATGCTATTTATTGGGGGGGGCACTCAGTGCATATTAGTGAACTAACCTGAACTGTGTAATTTTGAGTTTGCAAGTCACCTTTAAGGAAATTATATGGTCAATAGAAATTAAGCTGCCACTCAGACTCTTGTATTAAAGTCAGAGTCATTCTTGTAACCCTACAGTTGAACAGAGACATCGTGCTATTTCATACAATAGTAAGCCTTTATTATTCTTTCTAGGTATTACTTTACTAGAACAGATTATAATTAAGACTAGTTTTAGTGATACCACTTCAGATCTTTACAAAATGCAAGTTCTAATGCAATGCTTCCATTCTCTGAAATGTGGTATAATAAGGGGACAATATTCACTTTCCAAAAGGCTTTGTCCTCTCTCTCTCTCTCTTTTTCATTTTCCCATTTCCAAAAGAGAAAGAGAGAGAACTATAACAAAAAAGATGAGGGGGGAATTAAGCTAACTTTACATAGAAAAGAAGGGCCCATTGTTATAAATTGATGCACAACTCAGTTAAGCCAAAGCATTTCACTCCCACTGAAATCAGCTGGAACTATTAGAACATTCCAGTTCAAACTTCATGTTCTTTGGAAGAGGGCTAATTGATTTTTTCAAGAACTTACTTCCAAGTAAGGGACAATTCTTACATTAATTATGCAGTGCATTAGCTATTATATTGCTACAAGATCAAGTCCCATGCCAAACCACAATCTTAGGAATTATGGAACTACATGGAAAAGACATGTGTCCCCGGAGGCCAGGAGTAGACTTTGGAAATCACCACACCAGATAGCTACTGGGATCAGGCAGTATGGATACAACAACCATAATAAATAGGTGCTGTAAGAGGCAAAAATCAAATGAGGGATTGTAGCCTTGTGCTTAAAAGCATCTTAAAAAGCAGAGATATCACCTTGCCAACAAATCTCCGTATAGTTAAAGCTATGGTTTTCCCAGTAGTGATGGATGGAAGTGAGAGCTGGACCATAAAGAAGGCTGATCGCCGAAGAATTGATGCTTTTGAATTATGGTGTTCGAGGAGATTCTTGAGAGTCCCATGGACTGCAAGAAGATCAAACCTATCCATTCTGAAGGAAATCAGCCCTGAGTGCTCACTGGAAGGACAGATCGTGAAGCTGAGACTCCAGTACTTTGGCCACCTCATGAGAAGAGAAGACTCCCTGGAAAAGAACCTGATGCTGGGAAAGATGGAGGGCACAAGGAGAAGGGGACGACAGAGGGTGAGATCTTTGGATAGTGTTCTCGAAGCCACCAGCATGAGTTTGACCAAACTGCGGGAGGCAGTGGAAGACAGGAGTGCCTGGCATGCTCTGGTCCATGGGGTCAGGAGTGCCTGGCATGCTCTGGTCCATGGGGTCAGGAGTGTCTGGCATGCTCTGGTCCATGAAGAGTCAGACACGACTATACGACTAAGCAACAACAACAGCCTCGTGCTTCTTAAATCTAAATAATTTGGCTTAGTACGGTTACACACCCAGCTGTTTAAAGAATGTGAAAGGATATATCAGCCTGATGATAGACACTACATATCAAATTATGGCTAGGTTTCGCAGAAACTCATAATAAATACAGCCCTATTGAAACATAGTATGTCCATTTATGGTATAATTCACCACAAATTTCACCTGCATCATCACAACATTCGGTTTTCCAAACACGGGAGAAAAATGCAAAACACATCACAATTCAATATATGGCTTGCTAATTAGGGTATCAGAAGAAAGGCTGGTATATGCAGTCATAATACAGTTCTGCAATACATCACTTTCAAAGTCAAATTTTGACATCCATGCCCATAACTTTTGGAAAGCAAGTGCAATGTAATTGCTAACAGTATGTTCTGAAAAGCCCCCTGGTTGAAACTCCATCTTATATGGGATGAGCAATATTTGATTCCTTCCGCCTGAACCTGAAGTCTACCATTTGAGGATTATAGTTCTGAACTACCTCACAGGGTTCTTGCAAAGGTTACCGAGATGGTGCATGAAAAACACCTCGAACATTTCAGGAGTGTTATATAACTGATGTATTATTATTATTATTATTATTATTATTATTATTATTATATCACTTGTATAAAAAAGAAACATAAAATACATCTCCAGAAGAAAAGAGAATATCACACCTAAGGAGCATCAAATATGTAAAATGCTCCATAATAAGAATTCAATTTTTATTAAATGAACCAGCAGACTACCATCAAACCTACTGACAGAAATTAAAGTGCAAGACTATTCCAGGAGTCTCCACACTTCTGGGGCTCAGGACACATTTGAAAATCTAAGAAACTATTGAAGGTATCACAAACATCAATTTCATGGGGGGGGGGACTGATGAATATTATAATCCAGCTACCCACACAAAAATAACACAGACAAAAAAAAGCAGAATGCCTTGAAGAAATTGCAAATAAATTCAAGAATTCAGGGAAACTTCAATCCAGTACAAAACACTAGTATTATATTTTTAAAAAGAAGAAAAGGGGGGGTGTAAAAACAATAGACATAAGTCATTAATGTGCTTGTACACATGCACCCAATGTCCTGAAATCAATCACCTGGAATTTAGCATGTCAAGTACACCATTTAAAACAGTGAAATTTTAATTTTATGTAAAAAAATGAGTGGTTGCTACTCAATGCTGCCCCTGCAATCCTCTCCACTTGCCCTCCCCAGGCTTTTGTTGTTGATTAAAAAGATCAGGACATGGATCAGGGCAGGCCATGTATAGATGGAAGGACTGGGCACTTACATCAGTGCATACTAAATTCAAATGTCCAATCTAAATTAGATTCTCTGTACATATCTATTGAGATATATGTCCCATTTGCTTAAATAGGACTGACGCCCAATCAAGCATGTATAGTGGATTGCAAAGGAAATCCTATGCACTCAGTTACCTGGGTATAAGTTCCACTGAACTCAATAGAACTTACGTCTGGGTAGACATGCATAGGTATACATTCCATACCAGCATAAACCCCTGTCCTTTGGTCTCACTGGTTTACAACTATCACATGCAAAAGAGCCACAACTGTATGGTGAGATAACACCCCACTACATTTTATGAGATAAGCTTTAAAGCAGCCAAGATTTTATTTCAGGTCACAGAACTGCCTGCCATAAAATTAACTAGCCAAACTATCAACAGACAGCAGGAGTACTGAGATAGGAGTAAGAAGGCACACCAGGGCTTACAGAAAAGCATTCAGGTTGAGCATAATTCTTAGTAATGGATAATTTACATAAACTTCGTTATACAGGTAGTTGTATAGTAAAACAGTTTCCAGACTTTGAGCACAAATCAGGCAATGTTAAGCTATCCTACTTTAAGCCCCACTGATTTCAGTGGGATGGAGTTAGGTCTTACTGGATGACATCAAAGGTTCATCACAAGCTGACTCCTGGTGAGCATAAGGTTACCAGATGTCCCTGTTTCCTGGGGACAGTCCCTGGATTTACAAATCAGTCCCCTGACAAAATCCATCTATTTAGTAGGAAGTTGAAAAGTGTCCTCGGATTCACTGAAAAAAATCTGGTAACCTTAGGTGAGCATCTGTATTTCTTAACAACTCACTTGGTCTACACACCACATTATTTGAGGCATTGTCTTGCCCCATTTGACAGCTTCAGTCGGTGGAACTTGCACTGTTAGTACATATGCCAGATAACATGCACTCCATGTTTGCTAGGAATTGAGATATGTTTTAGTGTGGCATCACTAATCCTAGAATCCTAGATTTGTACATTTGGAAGGGACCGTGAAGGTCATTTAGTTCAACTCCCTGTATTGCAGGAATATTTTTCCCGCTCCGGCGGGAAGGTAAGCGGCATTTCCGTGCGCTGCTCTGGTTCGCCAGAAGTGGCTTAGTCATGCTGTCCACATGACCCAGAAGCTGTACGTCGGCTTCCTCGGTCAATAAAGCGAGATGAGCACCGCAACCCCGGAGTCGTCCATGATTGGACCTAATGGTCAGGGGTCCCTTTACCTTTACCTTTACCCAGACGTATTCTATATATAATCTCTTTCACTGATAATTATTTTGTGTATTTTTAAAGTTTTGCTTATTTTTTTATAATTATATTATTATGTACACTGGTTAGTTATCTTTCTGAATAATCCATTTAAACATGTTTTCCCTGAACTAATAAAAACAAACACCTTCCCTCTCCATCCCTCACATGCTGCTGCTGTATGCACAACTCCTTCCAACCTCCTCTCTTCGTATATTCCCCCCCCCACACACACACACGGAAGGGCTGCCTGGAGCATGGACTGGGTTGTCCCTTAGAGCAGCAAGGCAAAGACATAGTTAGCAGCAAAGCTATAGTTACAGCTAAGATATAAACATGCCACTCCTCAAAAATGCTAATTAAATACTCGGCTTGTTTTGCAATTTAATATTTAGTGAGCACACCTTTAAACCTGCAAATTCACATGCAAACTTCATTGTTCTTCCTACCGAAATGTGAAATGGCATCGCTAGCCAGGGTGGCTTAGGCTTCAGTTTTGGTGACTCTGCAAACAATGTCACCCATAAAATCTCTTAAAGTTTGCGTCCTTGAAGTAAGCCTTCTTTAGTCCCATTGTAAATTAAATCTAGTACTTTAAATGCATTTGAGAAGATTATTCAAGGCAGATGCCATGACCAATTTTTTGAAACGTCTTGCAATTATTGCTTTTGTTCTTATTCTTGGTACACAGCTATATGTATATATGTTGCATGAAGGAAAACTATGCCTGGAAAGTTTAGCTCTGTTTTTGAACACTGATTCTCCTTCTAATGCTGAGATTAGCTCCTATTCACATCAGTGGAGATTCCAAATGCATATTGATGGAGGAATAGACCTCTTTTCCTTTCTTAATAAACAATAACATTGTTTGAATGTAGGATAGCCGTATCCTCGCCATGCAAGAGTTTGCTTGGTATATGATAAACTGAATAAACTAACCAAACAACATACCAAGCAGATTCTAAAAAGAATTTTCTATTTATTTCTTCTTCTTCTTTTTTGCAAATTGCATTCTTTCAGAAGTGAAGCTTTGCAGCCCTACAGACACGATAGCATTCTCCTTCCATACGAAGGATGTTTTCCAAATAGCAAAAGTGTCTGAGTCAGTCATAAAAGATAATAAACAGCTAGGCAACAATGCACTCCAAGCAGAGATGATACAGTTCATAAAGGCTTACTGTGCCTTTTTTAAGGAAATGGAAGGTGGCATCTGTTTTGGGGGAGAAAGCGGGGGAAAGAACCATTAAGACCATAGCCTCCCATTCATGGTTGCATGTATAGTGGCAAGAAAATTGGGTGAGGATGATAAGCAAATAAAAAAACCAATGAGTCAATTCTCCAGACAAAAGTAGTGGAGGTTACCACCTGCAAATCCTTGTGATAAATGCAGTGAAAGAACTATACAAAAAATGCCACCTTGTATATTTCATTACCCTATTGAATTATGAAAGCAAAGGGGAATACAAAGAACACTGCATAAATTTGCAACCACTGCTACATGTCAGACATTTTAATAATTCCTGTTTATATTGATCCTTGGGAGTCCAAATAGTCTAGATGGTTGAGCATTTTACAAGGACCAAAATGAAAAAGCAACAATGCCAATCACCTCCAACCAAGTCCTCACTGGGATTCTTTTCTCTGAGAAGGGGGCAACACTCTCAGTGGTACAGCTAGGTAATTTCAGAGCCTGAACTTAGCGGTCTTCCAGGGACCTCCTTTTGATAGCCAGGTGTATGATTTCACTCATGAAGCACACCATAAACATTTGTCTACTTCCTCCACTGCAATTCCATGCATTACAATGGCTTCTGCGTTACCGAGAAGTTACAGCGAAAAAGCAGAAGTTTGCCAATCCTGACTTAAAAGCAAACAAGCAAACAAACCTCAGCATGTGCAATTTTGCATTCTAAACTTATTTAAATCATAGCACCTTTGAGAATAAGATGAAGTTTGTGCCTGGTATCCTGGTATCAAACACATTTGCATAGGGGTTGCACCATTTTGTTGTAGAAAAGTCTACTAAACGCAAAATCATTCTAAAGCATCATTTATAACTGTGTACAGGCTTGGTGTGTGGGTGTGTGGGTGTGTGTAAATGCAGGTGACCAATTGAGAGGAGCATTGTTGCAAACCTGACCTCTCAGGAGCACCAGCACTCCTGCACATCAGGACACTGAGGGAGTAGTAGAGAGGTGAGGTCTGTGAGGTTGGGGCAAACTGGTGGGAAGGCTGAATTGACTTTGACAATGCATTTAAACAGCCCCCGCCACACCACCATCCTGCCCTATCCCACCAGCATCCAAGTATATAGTATATAGCATGGTATGTGGCAGCCACCCTCTCTTCTGGCTGCTCCTAGAAGGATGAAATGTTTACGCAGTTGTTGGCACCCATCTGTCTCGAGAGACAATGGAGTGCACCTCTGGGAGTGAAGATAAACTGCCTAGTGACGTTTCCAGGGTGCAAACCTGGGCATTGTATATGGAAGTCCTGGGCTGCCCAGATGACAAGACTCCCCTCTCGGCCTGGCTGATGTGGTCCATTCAGCATTTAGCACCAGCTTGGCTGCATGAGTTGCTCAAAGGAGGCATAGAAAGACAGCATGCAACTTTCTTAGAGACTCCATACCAATTTGTGTAGGGTTTAATCCTTAGCCCTTTCTTTTCCTGAAGATGTTCCACAAGGCAGTGGGTATGGATATTTCCTCTGGGTTTAATCCCAAAGTCCCACGGATTTCAAAACAAAATTTGAGTGCAAATAACTTTCTCTGGATTGAGGAAAATGCCTTTAGGATCATGAAGGATGCATATGTTGGGCTACTCAAATTATAGGCTGGTTTGTTGAAGGAGGAGGAGGAGAAGGGGAGATGTCACTGAAAGATCTCACAGATGCAGTCATCTGTCTTCACCAAGTAATACAGTCCTGTAACCTGAGACGGGACTTCCTGACAACAATGTTGCAGTCACTGAATAGTATCAATTACTGATTCTAATTACATTAATGTATCTCATTCATGGTACTTCAACTTAAGCACTGCTTGGATTGCCCTTTGATCTACAGTCAAAGAAGTGTTATAATCACCCATATGAAACAAATGTTACTTTGTGGGCCGAGTAAAGCATACAAGTGTCAGCTAAAAAAACCAGGAGTCTCTTTCTTTTCCATACTTCAAGTCCATACTTAGGATATGATTAATACACCTAGACAATAGATGATGTATTAGAAACACATACACACACACACATTCTTTTTCAACAAGGTGATGAACATTAATGCCATCTGGTTAAGTATTTGTGAAGATGTAAAAGCTGTGACTGATAAATCAACCAGTGCTCAAATGGCATTCTTTGAGGACTGCAAAGTTCACATACTATTTATATAACTCCCCACCTGTTAGGCTCATTATGCAAAATGGGGGGAGGGATAAGAAAATGTCATTGAGAATCAAGTCAGCTTTCAATGGCTGTTTTTATTCTGCATTGCACTTCACAACACTGTGTGTGTGTGTGTGTGTGTGTGTGTGTGTTCTACTTCACCCCCTATGCCTCAATATTGCAGAACTGCAATGTTATTTAATGTGTGATGTGTTACTGTGGTTTTATAATTTGCTGGAAGCCACCCAGAGTGGCTGGGGCAACCCAGTCAGATGGGTGGCTTATTGTTGTTGTTGTTGTTGTTGTTGTTGTTGTTGTTGTTGTTATATTGTTTGGTGCTCCTCTCCTTTCCTATTGGGCTTCAAAAATCTCTTGGAGGTGTTCAGCACTTGTTCAGTAAACAAAAAATCTATAAATTACTCTAAGGTCAAGATTGCGATTTTTAGCAGCCTCAGCCCTCGGTATAGATGGTGCTTGGATCAGAAGACTATAGAACAAACTTGTTCATTTAGATACCTGAGTGTACTCTTTAATTAAACCTTTTATTGAAAGTGTCATATGGAGGCAGGGAAAGTCAAAGCACAGAAAACTATAGGGGCATTGATGAACTTTTACTACAATAAGGGAGGGCAGCTGATCGAACCTGCCCTCAAGATATTTGGTAGTAAACTGCTGACTCAAATGCTCTATGGCATTGAAATCTGGGGCTCTGATTGAAACTCCATTAAAATTTTGGAAACTTAAAAACAATGGGTTTCTTTTTCATAAGCTGTACTCTGTATCAGGAATATCAGCAGTTGTTCTTCATATGGAATTTGGGGGCCAACAATTAAGGCAAGATTGGACTGCGCTCAGTAAAGCATATTTCAAAAATTGCTACTATGCAAATCGGGCATTTTCCTGCTCTGTGTTATATAGAATTGGGTGATAACCAATTCTGGAAAGCACTAATTGTCAAGACGTTTTAGACTATTATGATTTTCCAGAACTGAGCTCCGCTTTGACTTTGAATGCATCAACTAAGGGATAGGCTCTTCTGGATAGAATTCAGAAGGAACTGCAACTAACTAGAACCACCATACTTTCGCCTTGGTATCCGCTCTTGAGGACAGAGCATTTTAGAGCTAGTTATCTGTGTGCTGAAGAGTTGCACATACCTTTATGAATCTGCCCAATGAAAACTACAGCTACAATGTGAATAATGTTATTGGAACAAGAATATTGCGTACAATAGTACCAACATCCTGTTGTCTTTTAAAGCAATCTTTGAAATAGGATATATATATATATATATATATATATATATATATATATATATATTCGTACGGAGGTACAAAGTCTGTAAATAACTATCCACCTGGTACTGTCTGGATAAAGAGCTCCCTTTTGGGTTCTCTTAAAGTCAACAGAAGAAAGCAAAAGTAGAACTCAAAAGGGCGTTCCATCCCATTTCTGGCTTTCAGAGGTGAAATGCGTACTTTCCTCTAATGGTCTTCTCTAGTATCCTGCATCTTAAACATATTCTGGCAAAATGTTTTGAGTAAACAAAATCCAATTCAAAATTGTTTTGGCACAAAAATGCATGTCAATGTACTCTTCTACACACTAAATGATTGACACAATCTGATCTGATTAACAGCTAGCAATACTGTTACTCACAATTTTTAAATAATTTTAAGATGACCATTTAGCAATCACTATCTGATTAATTTAGTGACCACTCCATATCTTACTATCATTGCTACTAAAAGAGTGGGAGGCTATTGCCTTTTACATCATAATTCAACATTGGTAGAAGTGTGTGTGTGTGTGTGTGTGTGTGTGTGTGTGTGTGTGTGTCTGTAAGGAAAAACATAAGTTCAGGCAATGATTTCCAAATTGCAGTTAAATGTTCTAAGAGAAACTAACATTGAAGTGTGGCAAAACAAAATAAAGGTCAAATGCTCTGTGTAGGAAGCAAAACTGCATACATTTTTGAATTTCATCTTTCTATACACTCCTCAATATTTGGTGGGGAGGAAAACACAAAATTCTTCACATAAACTGCTTTTGTTCGGCACAAATTACAAATAGCTCATGCAAGATGCTTCCACCAAAATACATCATATTGTCTCCAACATAATGCAAAAAACCAGGTTGCGTATTAAAAAGGTCCAAGCGAAGCAAGCTAACAAACCCCACAATATCAAATTGGTTTTTGAACCAAGTTTGCACATTTAAGAATGAGATAGCAAACACACACACTCTTTTTGTCACACTAACCAGGGTGTCTGCATTCGTGACCGAACATTGTATTTGCATTCATCAGCATGCATTTCTCTATAATGGAATTCCACACAAGATGCTATGCAGCTTGAGATAACACAATATTTACCCTAGCTTGGCTCTAACAGCGCTAACTGTTAAACGGTTTGCTTTGCATACAACCTCCCAACAAGCTAAAAGCAGAGAGAAACCACCTTAATTCAAAACAAAATAGATAGTTCTATAACAGTAGGTCACAACCAAAGGCACGGAAATTTGTTTTTCAAATACCTATGAATGGTTCACAGTGTGAGAAATTCAACAGTGCTTCTCTTTTAGGGGTGCAGATTCAGAATCAGTCCCTTGCATCACATCTAAGTTTTAAGCTTAAAGTGCAGGTGCCACACATTTGTAGTAACCTATTTCAAAACTCCGCTTGCTGGAAGGTATCACAGAACAGGTAGGGCTGTATGTAGAGTAGTGTCTTATGGATTTGTAAGGAAGAGATAGAAGGGATAGATCTTAATCCTGATCGTTTTTAGCATCCCTCCCAAACAAATGAAAAAAGTGTTTCGGCAAGAGTTAATTCTCTCTTTCCTTGCATCTTTTTAATGCATGTATTGCATTAGTCCTATTAGAATTGGTGTGCTTAACATTTGTGTTTAGTGTCAGTTGCTTTCCAACCTCACAACTACAAAGCCCATTAGATTAAAACACCCTGGTTATGTAGAAAATCATACCTACTGTAATGGTAAACTGTTCTCTTTCTCACTGCCTAGCCCTTGACAATGTTAAAAGTGTCAGAGTACAGCAGACTTCAATGGGCCTGTTTTTGGCTGGGTGTCTACCTCTAGTGGCTTGCAACAGTTTCCTCTCCAAGAGTAACCACAGTGCGAACAAAACCTTGTAACAAAAAAAGCTGTTTGGGATTAACCAAGCCCATGTGAGTGAGGCTAGAGTGACAATATAGCTGGGAAACGGGGTTCACTTTCGCTTCTACAGGATACTTGCTACTATCTACTTGTATGCAGGGCTGCATATGATGAGAGCTCATTTGCTTTCGGGCAGTAGTGATATGTGAAAGAGGGTTCCTAGTGCCAAGATCTTGGCATGCTTCCTGTACCTGTTAGGAGTCACAAAGAAGCGGGTGGTATCAACAGGTGCTGCTTTCCTCATGGAAAGTGGTGAGAAGTTGCACCTGGAAGAACGTTTCATGCACAAAAGGTATGGAAGCGTTCTCAGGATCTGGACTTGGAAACTTTAGTGAGCCTAATGCCTTCACCTGACTGCAACTCCTGGGTTGTGAAGGCAGAGAGGTATCCATACCATTATTTTCTCACTGTTGTTAGGGCAAGTGACTGTACCTAATCTATTTAACTGATGTTTGGGATGGGGATGGGGAGCCACAGAGCGGAGGCTTCTTGTGTTTGTTGATGAGCTTTTAGCTACTTGCAGCACCAGCCCAATAGATTCCCACCCCCCAATCCCACTCTAAATTTCACAGATTGAGAAGCACACTCCAGCATCCATTGCATTCTTGCAGAGGATGCTACAGTGGAATTCTCAGATCCACATGCTCATTCAGGGATTCCTCTCAAAAGCATCTAATGGACCCAGCAAGTAGATGGGCTGCTTTGCACTCCAGCTGGCCCTGTCTGCTTTGCAGCCTTTGAATGCGTTTCTGTGTGCTTGTGTGGTGTCGCCCCATCCCCCTTGTGTGCGCTCACATGTGCACATGCAATTGTAGGTAGGCACAATTGTGTGTCTGTTTCCATTTATGGCTCTGTGCCAGTTGGATGTGTGACTAAATGGGAGAAGGGGGAAAGGGGGTGGAGTGGAACTGAAGGCTGGAGACATCTCTGACTTCCTACATTGCTAATTCTTTCGTTCCATTATGTGTGTCAGTGTGTGTGTGCTGCCAAACAGTGTGAAGGCACAGTCCGATGATCATTTAACTGAAATTAATAGTTTCCTCTTCATACTTCAATTATCTTGGCCTACTAATAAGCAGGGTATTTCAGGAATAGCAAAAGGAGGTGGGTTTTTTTGCTCAGCAGTGCATGTTAATTGCTCTGTTCTGTATGAAGTGATCCTTACTATATTTTCCAAAATGACTCTCCAAATCATTGAACCAGAATATTTTGGGTTATATATATATATATATATATATATATATATATATATATATGATATTTTGCATATATTCCTATTCCTTAATAAGAGTATGTTGGATTAGATGCAAGAGATGGGATTGTGCGTGCAGAAATTTAAGTTTCTGGCTGTGTGTGTGTGTTGGAAAGAAAGAAAGAAAGAGCGAGCCACTATAGTGGCTGTGGTGTATAATACAGTGGGAAAACTTGCTTAGGACAGATAGTTGTGTGATGGGTGGTGAGCCTTCAACAGCTGTGAAATATGGGAGGGCTATGGCAGGTCTGACTATGCCTTTGAAAATCATTTAACTGAAATTATTGTTTACTATTAACACACTTGGCTTTAACTATCCCATCCACTCAAGGCTGGTGTATGTAAAAGTTGAGAAAGGAAGTTGATTTTTGACCATAAATGCATGTCCATTCTTCCAATCAGCATTAGTGTTAGTGACTTTGGTTCTTTAGAGTTCTAATTATTTCAGACTAATGGTACTGGGAAGGCACTGGGAAGCTTGTTGTGTGTAGGTGTGAGCGTGACTGTAAAAGGGAGGGGAAGAACAGGTGTAAATTAGAGAAGTGGCTGCATGTGTGTGTAAGTGTAGGAGGAGTAATAGCAGGTGTGTCTGAGTGCAAGTATCCCTTTCATCTAGATTAACAGTTTAGTCTTAAAGCTTTTCAAACAGGCTGTCTGTCATCCTCACAACCAGGGTGGATCGTCATACTAAAAGGCACCTTAACATTGGGAACAGAAATTCTGTTTGCATTGGTGCTCCTGTGATTCTTAGTTGAGGAAATGTTAATTCATAAAATAAACACCTGATCCTAAAGGCAGATTCTGGCGGTGAGTGGTTGTAAAACCGGTGTGGGCTGGGGCTTGACTGCCTGTGGGAGAGGAGCAGCAGGCGAGCCTGTGCCTGTGAACGGCTATGAAGGGTGTAAAGGGGGTGAGCTCCCCCCACCCTTCTCCCCACCAACCCACCCCCTCCCACCCCTGCATGCCTCCATCCGCCTTACCTGCTTGCTGTACTTGCTGCTGGCTTGACAGCTGTACTCGGAGCAGTGGTCCGAGCCGATGGAGATGTTGTCCCCAGCGCCTACGAAGGTGTTGGCCGGGGGCAGTTCCTGGACGGCCTGGTGTTTTTTCCCGGCGGTGGGGGACTGCGGGTGCAGCTGCACCGTGGGCAAAGGCGAGCTGGATTTGTAATGCCTGGCCAGATCCGGGCTGCCGGGCCCGCCGTTGACGGAGCGGTAGCGGCTCATGCTGGGGCTGTCCCCGGACAGCTTCTCGTTGACGCCGTCGTAGCGCTGCCCATTGGGCTTGGAAGCCTCGACCGTGACGATGCTGCTGTAGAGGGGCTGCTTGCCTTGCTTCTTGCCTTTCTTGTCCTTCTTGGGCTTCTTGGCCTTGTCGTGCTGCTGCGGCGTGAAGAAGTCCTCGTGGTCCTTCTTGCCGGCCTCGTAGCCGCCGTGCTTGCCCTTGGAGCGGCAGTAGCGCGCCATGACGACCACCAGGATGAGCAGGACCACGGTCATGATGCCGGCCACCACGCCCACGACGATGCTGAGGCGCTGCTTGCTTAACTCGTAGCTGGGGTCGCCGGCGATGTCGTGCGCCAGCGGCGTGTGCAGGCTGCGCGCCACTTGGCTCTCCACGACGGTGGCGTTGGCCAGGCTCTCGTTGACGAAGACGTGCAGCAGCGCCGTGGTGGACTGCGGAGGCTGCCCGCTGTCGTTGACCTGCACCACCAGGCGGTGCAGGCCGTAGTGCTTGGGCGCCAGCTTGCCCACCAGAGACACGACGCCGCTCGACGGGTCGATCTCGAACAGCTTGAACGGGTTGCCGCCCACGATGCTATAGCTCAGCTCCGCGTTCTGGCCAGCGTCCGCGTCTTTGGCCTGCACCGTGGTCACCACGGAGCGCACGTTGCTGGACGGCGGCAGCACCGTGTAGGAGCTGTTGGCCGGAGACGTGACCACGGGCGCGTTGTCGTTCTCATCCATGACGAAGAGCGACACGGTGGCCGTGGCCGAACGGGCCGGCTCTCCTCCGTCCACGGCCTTTACCTTGAAGGTGTAGCTGGTCTGCAGCTCGCGGTCGAACGAGACCGTCGAATAGATGGTGCCCGTGTCGTTCTCGATGGAGAAGATGCCCGGCGCGCCTTGCCCTTGGTCCCCGGGCTGTATGGAGAGGCTGAGCTGCGCGTTGCGCCCCTTGTCGGCGTCCATCACTGTCACCATGCCCACTGGGCTGTTGGGCTGCAGGTTCTCCTTGACGTAGAAGGTGAACACGTCCTGCATGAAGCGCGGCTCGTTGTCGTTGCGGTCGGCCACGCGCACCACCACTGTGGTGGAGCCCTGCAGCGACGGGACCCCTTTGTCCCGGGCCGTCACCTGGAACTCGTAGGTGTCCCTCTGCTCGCGATCCAAAACGGCCTGGACGCGCACGTCCCCGGAATCGGGGTCGATGGTGAAGAGGCCTCCGGGAGACTCGGCAGAGAGCGGGGAAGGCTCCAGGGAATAGGCAATCTCGGCGTTCTTGCCACTGTCGGCGTCCGTGGCTATCACCGTGGCCACGCGCTCTCCGGGAGCGTTGTTCTCCGGGAAGGATACCTCCAGCACGGCCTGGCTGAAAACGGGCGGGTTGTCGTTGGTGTCCCCGACGCGCACCAGCAGGGAGTTGTTGCTGGACAGGCTGGGGCTGCCCGAGTCCACGGCCACGATGACCACGTTGTAGTCTCGCACGGCCTCATAGTCCAGAGGCGCCGAGGTGTGCAGGAAATACTTGCGCTTGTTCTGGGGCTCCCCTTCACCCTCGCTGGCCGGCTTGAGCTGGAAAGGCACGTCGCCCACCACGGTGCAGGTCACCACGCCGTTCTCGCCCTGATCCCGGTCGGACACTTGCACCAGGGCGATGGGGGTGTCCACCAGGACGTCTTCGGCCACGCTGGCCACGCCGTCGCGCAGCGGGATGCGCCCGATCTTACGGATGTCGATGGTGGGCACGTTGTCGTTCTCGTCGCGGATGTTGAGCACCACCGTGGCCTTGTCCGTCTTGGGGGGTTGCCCGCGGTCCCTGGCCATGACGGTGAAGCGGAGCTGGTTCACTTCCTCGCGGTCGATGCGGTGCAGCACGCTGAGCCAGCCCGACGACTCGTCGAGGCGCAGCAGGCGGCGCACGGACTCGGTGGCTGCCCCGAAGACGTACTCGATCTGGCCGTTCACCCCGACGTCGGAGTCCGCCGCCCTCAGCTGCAGGATCGGGGTGCCGGGGCTGCTGTTCTCAGCCAGGTCGGCCTCGTAGACGCTCTTCTCGAAGCGGGGGCTGTTGTCGTTCACGTCGGTGATAAGCACTCTCAAGATGGCCTGCGAGGAGCGCGCCGGATCTCCGCCGTCGCGCACCCGCAGAGTCAGCTCGTACGAGTCCCGCTGCTCCCGATCCAGCGCCCCTTTGACGATCAACTGGGGCTGCTTCTCGCCATCGGGGGTGTCCGCCACCTGCAGCTCAAACACGCTGCTCCGGGCCCCGCCGTCGGCCTCTTGCCTCCTCTTGCCGCCCCCGGGGTAGAGGGCGCTGTCGGAGGTGGCAGAAGCCGAACTCCCCCCGCCCCGTCGGCCCCCATCGGGCTCTTGGAGCAGCTCGTAGCGCTCGATGCCGTTGCGCCCGAAGTCCCTGTCGGTGGCAGTGGGCAGCAGGTAGAGGGTGCCCACGGGGCGGTTCTCCTCGACGGTAAGGGTGAGCACGGGGGAGGGGAAGGTAGGGGTGTTGTCGTTGATGTCCAGGATGATGACCCGGCCTTCGAAGAGGTCCACCCAGCTCTGCGACGGGCCGATCACGGACACCTCGAAGTCCAAGAAGCACTCGTTCTCGTCGAAGATCATCTGGCACTGCGGCAGCTTCTCGCGGTCGATGCGCCTCTCGGTGGTGCTCAACTCGCCCGTCATGTTGTCGATCTTCAGGTAGTCGGAGCCGGACTCCAGGCTGAACGTCACCTCGCCCGAGCCCGTCACGATGCCCAGGTCCGAAGCCACGTTGCCGATGCGGATGTCGGCAGGTCCTTCCTCGGCCAGCCGGTATCTCAGCACTTGCTTAGCCGCCGCCAGGCTGACCCAAAGCGGAGGCGGCAGCAAGAGCAAGAAGCAGCAGCAGCAGTAGCAGCACTGCACAAAGCCCAGGAGCGTCCGCATCTTCCACATCTTCTTGAGCACCCAATGAAAGACCCCACCACCACCACCTTCCTCTGCCCACCCGTGCCAATAAACGCCCCCCTTGGCAAGCCAACAAGAAGATGCCTCGGCGTTTGGCGGGGGGTGGGGGTGGAGGGAAGGATGGAGGTGATGAGGGTGGTGATCAATTATAAAATCCTCCTGCTTCTGCAGAAAACTTCGGGTCTCATCCCATCTGGCGCAAAAAAAAGGGTGAAGGGGAGGAGGAGGGAGGGGATCTGGGGTTGGCTGGCGGATCTTCCCCACCTCTCGTTCCCCCCTTCCTTTTGCAGTTGCTCTATACTCACAGTTCACCGGGCAAGTGTATTTTGCTTTTTTAAAGATTCATCTCGGCAGATAGGATGAAGGAGGGGGGGGAGTTCCGCCTCTTCCTCCTCCTCCTTCTCCTCCACCCCCTCCGATGGCACTGTAATCACTTTGCAAGGTTTGCAAGAAAAGCAAGAGCAGCAGCAGCAGCGAGGGATTTGATGCAACCAACCCCTCCCCCGCCGCCTTCTTTTTTACTCCAGTCCAGTTCAATTCGCACTCTTTCCTCTCTGCCTGCTTGCCTGCCTGCCTCTTCCTAGCCGTTTGCCACCGCCGTGGAATTAGCTCTTCTGTTTCTCTCTCCCCCCTCCACTCCGCATACACACGCCGACGAAGGGGTGGGAGGGCGGGTGGAATGTAAATTGCTTCATTCAGAGAGCGCTGGTGTCCGGCGGAAAGGAAAAAGACAAGGCAGCCTCCAAATCCTCTTAGCTAAAGATGGAATGGGGGAAGAGTAAAAATAGCCCCAAAATAAAGAGAGGGGGAAAAAATATGCCCAGTCTCCAGTGATGCGACAGCTGTATAGATATTTGGGAGGATTGCTTCGTCTGCCTTGTATTACAGATCAGTTCTCAAGAAATCCCCTTTGGTTGTCAGGATAGCGCCTAAATCCATCTTTAAGAGATCGCCTCCAATGTTCAGGTCTTTCTAGAGAGAGGAGAGTTCTTCTTTAATATACCGTATATTTTAAAAAAAACAAAACTCTGCGCAAGGTCATTGGTCACAAAGCAACATGGTACAAAATCTGCAGGAGATGTTCGTCCGGAATGCAACAAGGATGGAGGGGAATGCACATAGATAGATCTCTTTCCCCCCGGTCTCGCGAGCGCGCGCGCGCACACACACACACGATACAACAGTCCCAAGTTTGTTTTTTTGCATCCGCAGTTGGTGTGCGTGTGCGTCTTACCTGCATTTACACTGCATGTGTTAGAGCAATCGGAGGCTGCAGCACTAGGGAGAGCGATTCACAAATGAGATTGCAGTCTCTCGCTCGCTCCCTTGCTTCTTCCTTGCCGTCCCAATGCAGCGAAAGCAGCGCTGAACTTCATCCCCCTTTTCCTCCCCAGTTCAAAGGTGAGCACAAAGGTTGGCTGCTGGCTGTGTGTGTGTGTCCGTGTCCCGAAGGCGATTATTCTAAGGCTCCCCCCTCATGGATATATACCCGAGGCAGAAGGGGGTGGGAAAAGGGAAGAGATGTAACTGGATCTTCTTCCCACGTGAATTACCACCGCCGATTCGGAATTACATCCATAGCTGCGGAATGGGGGGGGGGGGGAGAGAAGAAAGATCTCTTAAAAATAAAAAAGCACCAATCCCAAAATAAATGTCCAAATGCAGCGCTGGAGAAGGATTGATTTTAATGGAAGCAGAGTCCGGGTTGCAAACGAGAGACGATCCGAGTCAGTAGTTTCCCTGGACCGCCACTCCGGGCGAGATCTGCAATTGTGCTTGTTTGTAAAGCCCCCTTTTCCTGGCTCGTCTCGCTCAAGTGCGGCTGCTTGGTGCAGGGAAGCTCGCTCGGCTCTTTCCTCCCTCTGACAGACACACACACACACACACACGGCGAGCGTGACGCTTCCCAGGAAAAGGAGGAAGGAGGAGAGGAGAAAAAAAAAGCAGCGGAGCATCAAGTTTTGCCCGAAGTGGCTGGGAAGCTGCTGGGAAGCCTCTCTCGGTGACTCTGCCCTGCTGCTGCTGCTGCTGCTGCTGCTGCAGAGCCGCCTGTGCACTGTAGGCTGAGAGCGAGAGGCAGGCAGAGAAAGAGAGAGAGGGAGAGAGAGAATGGGGAGGAGTTGGGAGCCGCCGCCGAGCGCTGCACTCCAGAAAAGCCCAGCATTTACCCTCTGCCGTTGCTGCTGCTGCTGGCAAGTGGGCAAGCGGCCTCCCGCAGCGAGATCCCCCGATCCCTAGATCCCCCGAGGTGGCCCGACCGGACCTTGCCGTGCCACCTCCCGACACATATTCGGGGGAACAGTCCTTTCATGGGGGCTTAAAGGAGCTTGAAAAGCATCCTCCCCGCTCTCTGGGTTGTCAGCGTCGCTCTTCACTCCCCCACGTTCCTAACTTGGGGGGTGGAAAGGGAAAGCTCTTGGGGTCGGGCAAGGAGCGGCGTGGTGAGATCACGTGGATCCGAAAGTAGTCGGCTTCGGGTGCTTTTTTTTAAACTTTTCGCTGTGTGGATTTGTGGGTTTTTTTGGGGGGGGGGGGCTGTATTACAGAGGCAAGCAGATGACGAGGCTGCGGCGACCAGGGCGAGATCAGGGAGAGGGATCTCGAGCCTCTCTCCCCACAGACATCCTCCCGAGATTAGGACCCCCACATTTATAAGACTGCATCTCCCCCTTCTCTCTCTCTCTGTGAGGCGCCGAGACTGCGGTGGAAGTGGCGGTGTGAGGGGACGTGTGTGAGAGAGAGAGCTCGGAGTTGGCAACGTGAGGAGAGCGCTCGTTTCTGACACGCCGCAAAATGTAGCCGCGTCGTGAGGGGAGCCAACTTTCGCGCCAACTCCGTCCACTCGGCTTCTGGCGGCGACCCGCCGCCTCGCCTCCTTTCTCCTTCTCTCGACTTTGGCGTGCTTAATCGCCCGCGGCATTTGCTGGCCTCCGCTCTTTTCGGAGGGGCGACCGGCGCCGCCCGCTCGCGCGCCTCCTCCTCCTCCTCCCGCCTTTTCTTCCTCAGTTACTCGGCATCCTCCTCCTCCTCCTCTCCACTCCGGCGGAGGGAGGGAGAGAAGGCGGGGAGGAGACCCCGAGGCATCTGGGCTGGGCCCAGGGCACGCGTGGGGAGGGCACACGGGGTGCGGAATGGCAACGGCGGCAGCAGGAGGAGAGAAACCTGTTCCTCGCTCGCTTCTGAGGGGAGCCGCGCACGTCTTTTTGACGCCGCGCGGCGAGGGCGGCAAGAGGCTTCCTTTCTGCGGGTGACTCAGCTCCCTCGCAAAATGAAGGAGCGCGAGGAGGTTTTCTGGGAAGGAACGTGTGGCGCGCGCCAGAGCGGGGAACGGGAGAGCCGCTTTGGAAAGAGAGACAGCGGCGGGCTGGAGGCTCCCGCCGCCGCCGCCGCCGCTATGTCTGACTCAGACATGATTCCGCGCTTCCTCTGAGGCGAGAGGGGGCTCCCCTCCTTTTGGCGCGCGACTGGCGCGGCGGCAACAGCTGCGGGCGCTCGAGCTCGCTCGCGCCCTCGCTGGTTGGCCGACGAGCCTCCCAAGCCCCGCCTCCGTGGACCCCGCCGGAGACCCTGGGTTTGTCAGATCTGCAGCATCAGCGAGAAAAGAGGCGACTTGGCGCAGACTCAGTGCGCATCGCCGCAGTCCCGGTGTGTGGGGGGAGGAGGGAGGGGGAGGAAAGAGGGAGGCGGGCAGCTCCGGCAGCTTCTCAGCGGGTTAAGTGGGATTAATACCAAATCTCCGCTTTATTTGCCAAGCAACTTGACTTTGTCAAAACCTCTCTCTCTGCCTCCGCCTTCCCCTCCGCCCCTACTCGGTGCTGGGGCGCGCCCGCGCCGTCTTGGGAGGCGGCGACGACTCTTGCCCCTGCGGGAGCTCCAGGCGTGCCAGCAACGATCCCCAAGAACTAGGCAGCCCTGCCAGAGAGTACGCTACAATTGCATTGCGTTGCATTGTATTGCACTACAATCCATTGCATTGCATTGCAAACCATTGCATTGCGTTTCCCCCCGGGGCTTCCTTTAGAAAACAGGTAAATAAGTCGACCCGTGGAAATCAAGCCATTCTACGTTGCATTTTAATTATGTTTATTTTTTCCTTTTTTTTTTTTAAAAAAAGAAACCCCTCTGAAACTTGTAATGCGCTTAACGCGGGAGAGCAAGCGCAATTGGAACATGCCCTGGGATTGGGCTTGCAAAAAGGCTGGCTAGCTGGCGACGCGAGTTCCCTCGAAATCGATGGCGAACCGGGATCGGTTCTTGCTTCGGCCAGGCGCGCTGCTTTGGTGCATACTTTCCTCACTGCGGTAGCATCGGCGGGGAACACGCTCCGTCCCTGTCCAAAGGAACAGCGTTTCCCTTTCCAATTGCAGCCTCGCTCGCATTGCAACGGTTCTCTCTTTCTCTCTCTCTCTCTCTGCTCCCCACCCCGCCGCCGGCTCTCTCGTCTGCTCTTTCCTGCAGCCTTGTCAGCTTCCGCATCCTTTCTTCGGCCGACTGCCTCCCCTGCACGCGATCCCCCCTGCGTTTGCAGCCTCCCCTCATCCCTCCAAGTAATTCCCACTACCCCCCTCTCCTAGTCTTTCAGCGTATCCCCGTTTTTGCAGACTATTTCCAGGAAACCTCTCCACTCTCCCTCCCTGCCTCCAGTCTTCCCCAGAACGCTTCCCACAATTCCTCTCTTGCAGTGCATCCACCTCGCTCTCCTCCTCCCCTTGGCAAATATCTGTTTCGCACACATTCAGTCCTTCTCTCTCTCTCTCTCTCTCTCTCTCTCTCTCTCTCTCCCCTCGTCCCCAATTCTCTTCTCTGGGACCGCTCTTCGCGTGCTGTCCCTCTCTCTTTCTCTCCGTCCGCTCTGCAATGCCTTCCTTGCGCAGGAGCGCAGCAAGCTCCTTCTCACGGGGTTGTTGACGCGTCTGTCGGAGAGCGCCAGGGACGGCGGGTCACCCGCTTCTCTCCTTCCTCTGCCAGGCAAGATTGCGGGAAGGCGGCATGGGAAACGGGCACCAAGGACGCGCAGCGGCGCGCTGCTTTTGCGCCACGTGCCTGGGCTTACGTATCGCGGGAGGAGGGGGAAAGGAGAGGCAGGAGACCCCGGTACGCGCGATCTCTCTCCGGATCGTGCGGTGATCCTCTCCCTGTTGAGCTTGGGAAAGGCTCTCCGCGCTCATTGCAGTGCTCCGTGTGAGCCCCCGTTCCTTGGGCGCTTTAGGAATCCAAACGGGGGGGGGGGGGGCTCGTAGCGCAGAGAATAGCGACTATCTCGCATGCCCAAGAATATCAATGGGGCTAGCTGAGACCCCCAGGTTTTACGCTAAGTGCGGGATTCCCACGGCGAGATGATGGTCTCATGTTCATGCGTCCTCGTCTCTTCCTTTCCTTTAACTTCCTGGCAACCTTCGGCAATGTTTCCTCATCGGGCAGTTCCTGAGTTTTGCAGCCGACATACCTTTCCATCGGAGATGGTGGAAATGGTAGGCTAATTTATTTACAGTGCAGGCCTCTGTATGTCTACTCAGAGGTAAGCCCCGGTGCAGTCAATGGTATATACTCCCAAGTAAGCGTGCAAGGTAAGCAGCCTAACTGATGCAATTTCCCATCTTCTCCTCCTACACTAGATGGAGCGAGACGTCTCCATAAGAGTCCCCAAGGTTTTTTTAAAAAAAAATATATATATATACTATATACATATTAGGCTCTAAAATTTGAGAAGGAAAAACAGATCCGGGGGAATACGCGCGCGCGCACACATCCTTACACCTGCAAAGATGTCGAGGTTTGGGGCTTTTTTTTCCGGCGAGGGGAGGGAGAGTGAGGGGGACATTTTTAAAGCCACCATTCCCGCGGCGACATACACAGGTAGATCAGATTATCCAAGCAGGATTTCGGAAGGGGTCACGTGGATTACGATAATACTGTAAGGAAAAGGTTAAATGCAGTGTGAACACGATAGTCGATCATTTGCTTGTGTGTGTGTGTGTGTGCGTGTGCGTTGCGGGGTGGTGGAAAGAAGTAGCGAATAGTTTAAGCGGTTTGACGGCATGGAGAAATCTAACTCGACAACTCCACCAAGGGACAAACACGGGAAATGACACCAGAAGAGCACCAGATCTGATGACCTTTTCATCCGTTAAAAGCATCCTGCTGGGTTTTTGTGCTTGTGTGGCTTGATCTCCCTGGCTGCTCTCTCTGTGAGATTGTTCACCCCCCCCAAAAAAACCCCTCCACTTTAAGTTTTAGACGAAATAGATTAATCACTGTGTAATTACAGCAAAGGGCTTAGGAGAAGTCTGCCCTCCATGCAGACACATACAATTCATTGGAACAAGGCTTGATATACAGTCACAATTATTAAGGCAAGGTGGGGAGAAGTATTCATCCCATAGCAGTACAGTGGTACCTCTAGTTACGAACTTAATTCATTCCAGGGCTCCGTTCTTAACCTGAAACTGTTCTTAACTAGGGGCGTGCTTTCGCTAATGGGGCCATTAGTTCATCTGAAGAGTCTAAATAAGGAAATGACAGACTTCCTTTTAATCACTAAGAGCCTGTCACTTTGGTGGTGATTCGGCTGAGTTTGAGCAGAGCAGGTCAGCTCAAAATTTGAAGGATATTCTTAGAGCCTCTTTTCAGTGCCCAGAATTTGTTAAGTAGGAAAGTGAATGTTTCCCCCTTCCTATTGCATAAGATGGTCCTACAAAATTGCTACAAGGGCTTTTTTCACATAATAGGGTGTGATTTGTAGGTCGGGTTCAGCCCAGAAATGAATTTATACCTTCCTTTCAAAAATGTTGCCCACCCCACTCTGTAAAACTAATGCTGTTGTACTTTAAGCAATATACAGAAAGAAATGCCCCCGTACTGAATTCCATGCTAAAAAGTGTCTTCATATTCTCTGTTTTTGTGTGGCAGGCTCCTGCTTTAAGTAATAATACAGCAGATCAAAGAAAAAAAGTGAAACAGCCCAATTTAGAAAGCAGAGGCCTTGTTTAAAATTAGATAGGTTTTCCTCCTCAAGCTTTTTTTTTAAGATGAATAAATTGATTGATAAATAAATAAAAGTTGCTGCTTGATTGTCAGAACTGAGTATCACAGTTAGACTATGTACATGGTTAATTAAGGTTTTACATCTGTAGGGCAACATTTGAACTTGTCTCATTAAAAGGAATAAAGTAGATGTTGCATCCACAGATGATCTGATTGCCCTTTCCAATTCTGCAGTTGATGGAGAGTTCTCAGGCACCCAGAGCAAAACGAAAGACATGGGCATATAGATCTGAGGCTGGCATCCTGTAGTGCACACACTTGGGAGTAAGTTCAACTGAACACAAACAGCGTTTATAAGACTAAGCTGTGCATTATTCTCAGCAGCCTTGTGAGAGTTTCTGTTGCAATATTTTGCAAACAAAAATATTTTTGGTCTGTGCAAATTTGAAGATTTTTCCCCTTCAGGATAAATGTATCCAATTGTTATATTAATCACATATTTAAAATGTGGGGCAAAACAGCTTTTAATCAGCAGTTACGCTTATTAAAAGGGATAGTTCTGATAGCAGCTATGTACATCCAGGATCTGGGTAATCACCAAATGATAACCTAATACAGACAGCGTGTCTATCTGTTAAACGGTTCAGAGAAACTCTTAAGATGCCAAACCTCCATTTCTGTTGAAACGTTGTCATACCAAAGTGTTAAATAAGCTTTTAATTTCCTAAGGAAAGCCATAAACCCACCTTGCTTTGTAGACCCCTCTTTCAGTATTAATTTTAAAAGATGCATCCTCCAATCCTGTTTTGTGTACAGAAATTACTTTCCAGAAACGTGGTCCAGGATCAAAGAGTTCTATTTCTGTACAGTGCATGGTGGCTTAGTCACTTCAGTAATAACAGTATGCTGAGAACTTGTGCCCCACCCCATCCCCAAATGCCTGCTTGCTGTCACATTTTCCCCTTCAACACTTATTCCGTCTCATTTATTTCTATATACCTTATTGAGTGAACCCCTTACTTTGTATTTCCAACAGACGCAAAGCCTAAACCCCATAGGACATATATTCTTTTCTGTACCTCCCCCATCCCTCTCCTCTTCCTTCCTCCCCGGCCTCTCAGTTGCCTGTACTGTTATAATTAAACCAGATTTCCTCATCCTTACCCTCCCTTCTCCTTCATCTTTCCCCGATGTTTTTCTCTGTATATATTTTAGATTGAGTGTTCCTTTGGGCAGGGACCTACCTGTGCTGTTTTGTTCTGCCTATGGAACTCTGTAAGCTACATGGACTAGATTACAACTTCATCTTTTCCTGAGAACATCTGCTTGTTGTTTTTGCTTTTCTCTTCTCTCCTGTGGGAGGCTCCAGAAAAGTACAGGAACAAAGGTTTTCTGCATGCTGTTCACATGTGTTTAGTGCATGTATTTGTGTAAAATGAATGGGCG